CTGTGGACAACTTTTCAACCAGCAATTTCGCTCCAACGTTTAATGATAGCAATGTTTCTGTAAGGAAATTTTACTGGGGAGGTACTTAAGAATATTCGTTTTTCTATTCCATTTCAGTTTTTTCAGCAAATATGGAAAACTGGGAAAACCGGGAAAATCGGTACAACCTTAAACAAATATTATTAAAGAAAATATATAGAGCCTATTTAATTATCTAACTATAATATGGCATTTATGTCGTTGAAAAAGCAACTTCAACTGAACTCCACTCAGAATCGTAATTAAAAACGTCTAAAAATGTAAAAATAATATATTATAAAAAAAACAAAAAATATTGTAAAGAGCAGCAAAAGTACAGGAGTTTAAAAGTGATCACCTCATTTGTTTCTAAATTGTTAAAAATAATTTTTGACACCAAACAAATGTTTATTTGAAATTTACTTTTTTTTTTCTATACAGATATGGACGCATCGGCGCGGCGTGGAAAAACCCATCCGCCACTGTCAGTGGGAGTCGGAGAGCACATTATCATAGATAACGCGTACAAGAGGAAGCGTATTGCGTCTGCGCGGTGACTGTTTGCCGTTCTAATAATAAAATATTTGTTCAAATAAATGGGAAATTAAAATATTATTGAAGTTTAATTATAATATTCGCGTGTGCGTGCGTCCGTGTCACATCGTATTTCCGTTTCGATGCATTCAAGTGAAATTTAACACACGGCGCATAATATCCTGTGTAGGAAAAAAAATTAGTTTATAAAATAAGATTATTTTGCACGGAATTCCACTTTAATTTTGACACTGCAGCAGTTAAATGCCGTCAGCGCTCAGCAGGGGCGAATATGGGGAAATATTTCGATGCGGGAAAATAGCGAACAAACCGCCGCGAGGTTGTTGTAAATGATGTTGAGTTGCATCCATGACATTTTTGAGTTTCAACCACAAACATTTTTTACCGTCAATTTATGATAGGTGTACAGGGTGTCCCACGAGGATTCGACAAATGCAACAACTTTTGTTCTATTTAATACTTTTGATAAACGTCTTTTTTTAAATAATTAGTAAGCCTCGACACTACAGTTTATATATGAACGTTTTTTTTTTTTTTTTTTTTCCTTAAGGGGAAGGGGACTTAAGATAAACAATTTAATTTAATTTAATGCGTCGGCTCGCCACGCTCAGTACCGAACCCGAACAAGACGTTGAAATCGCGTTGATTTGCCGTTTGTCCAGTTGGCCGTCATAACGAACCGGACCGCTTCCCACAGACGTAACTGTGATTTTTACGTTCCCGGGACTCGAGCCTACCGGCAGATCGCCCGCCCGGCCCGTGGCCGCAAAAGTACCGCCAATATTTTTGCCGGGTTACACGATTCTGGGGTGAGGCTGTAAACACAACGGGTAGGCGATTCGCGAATCCGGTATCGCGCCGGAGCTGAATAACAGCGTTTTTGGCCTTACATGCATCCACAAAACGTAATTATGCAATTTAATTTTTCGTAGCGCGATTTCTGATTGGACGCGTTTAAAAACTGTCCACGCAGCGACGTATTTACGTGGGGAGGGGAGAATGCGTACAGGGAGACGTATAGTGTATAACCACTCGACCTTTCGTCCAGTGTCTGTTCTTTATAAGACTACATTTTTTTTTTTTTTTCTATTAAATCAATACTTTTTTACTTTTAGCCGGAAAAAACCGAAAAAATCGATGTGTCAGTACCTGTGGTTTAATTAAATTAAACATGTCCAAAAAAAAAAAAAAAAAAAACCCGTATTTGCGTTTTCTTGTTAAAACTAAACTTATATTAAAAACTTGCCCGAATCGCAATAATGTAAACGAGCTTAGATAAATATCCGAATAGTAAATAAAGTAAATAACCGCTTGCCTTTAAACGTAGTCGATGTAGGCATTCGATTTCGACGGTAATTACTAAAATCACGTTGAATTAAATATGAATTCGACAAATAAATAAATTGGCAATTGAGTTTTTTATTATTATTATTATTATCTCCCCGTGTACACGTTGCACAATAAAACGCGATTCTTTTCAAATTCAATGTCTTCCTCCTCCTCCCCCCCCCGGTAATATCCTGAATACGCCACTGGCGCCCACGCAATGTAATCGACACGTTTCGGCCGTTTATCAATCAGTCGTTACGCGACCAACGTCATTATTATTCATACCGAACGCCCGACAAGGGATGACCGTAAGGGTGCAGTCGATTAATTTGCACCAAAATTGACGCTGAATATGTGCAACATTTGTAATTTGCATTCATCTCGGGTAGTAAAAAATAAGAATTTCAATCCGCACCAAAATTCAAGTCGATTATTCTTCCGACAGCACCCTGCGTACAAGTTTCGATATTAGAGTATCACAATACACTGTACACTGTACACAATACACAGTCAATACACTGAGATATATTGAGATGCACGAGGAGCTCGAGAAAACGGAACATTCCGTTTCGATATCAAGCGGTTATTTCATCACTTGCGCCGTTTTTACGGTACGTGGTAGGTCAGTGTTGACTTAAACGACATCTCTTAGCAATGATATATGACAGTAATGTGTATTTTGTAATATTGTAATAACTGCGTTACATTAATGTAATTTATTACGTATGTGGTACAAATGAAAGGTCGGAAAGACCGAAAGATTCCGACGTTTGGTCGAAATTATAAATTACGCGATTCCGGCGGACAAACGAACGTCAAATTTTGAAATGATTACCGGATAGAGTGGCGGGTAGTCAGGAATCCCGGAAATAGAATATTATATTACAGGTATTTTCATCATTTTAAGTGAGGAAGCGAAATATTATACAAATATACGGAAGTTTGAAAATATCGATCAAATAATGCAATAATGTTTTGTAAAACGAGTGTGTATTAACAAAATCATTCTTCAGAAACAGAATATTGTAAAGATAAACTCATCTCGAAGAAAAATTAACGATTTTTGGATTTTTTAAAACGGTAATATAGGTCAACTGAAATTACGCTACCGTGGTGGGTCAACCGAATGGGCAATTATTGACAATCGAATGCATAGACGCTCGTTTTGGTGCGAATCACTAACAATATTTTCAACGACCTACGGTGGCGCAAATCGCATGCCCTTATTTCGGTGCGTATTACAGACTCCTGACGATCCACACGATGTCGGGTGAATTCGCTCAGCAAAGCAAAGCGCACGCTCCACGCTCGCACGACGTCACAAGCGAGTGCACCCGCAAACATATTCATATTATTGCAATGCATGTTGTTTACCAGCGATAGGGTATGCGGTTGTGATAATAGATTTTGCGACAACGTTGCCCGTAAACCGTAACGATAACGTGACATTATATTATTTACGGCGGACGTTTCGGATCTTCGAGTCGACGGCGTCCGTATGCGAACGGGGTACACGCGAACAAAATGTCAATTCGCCCGGCGCCTGGTCCGCCGGACCGGGCAAAACGTGCCGTCGGATCGACGACGTGTCCGCGGGGCGCAAATGAAACGTCCACGCGCTACGCAAAACGACGACGGCGGCGGCGCGTTATATATATATACTTTGTGTATCTATTTCCGGCGCGTTCGCCAAACAGCAGAAAAATTCGTTGGCCAAACTCGGGACGGCGGCAGCGGCGCCGTCACACCGGCGGCACAGCGATCGTAAACTGCCCGCACGACCCGCGCACGCGGCGACGGCGGTTGGTCACACTGGGCCACTTTGCCGCGCGGTCGGACGGCGGCGCGGTGGCGGGCCGGACGCGCGTGACACGAACCCCGGCGCGACGGCCGAGCAACCCCATCGATCGGGGGGCTGAAACGCCATTCCGGCGGGTGGCGGCGGCGTAGGCGCGGCGGGACAGTGGCGGCGGCGCCGTGACCGCTTACGGACGCGAGCAGGCCGCACTGCCACAGTCGCACCAGTGTGCGTTCGACGCATCACCGCCCGCGTACCCCGTCGCCGATAGCGCCGCGCTCACGACGACCGACCGGCCGGCCGCCCGTCCGCTGAAAACCGCGCACCACCACCATGTCGCACGGTGACTGGCGCACGCGGACCGACAGTCAGTGCTGCAGGGGCCTGACGTGAAAAACCGTCGACCGGAACGCGCGCGTTCACACCGACGGCGGCGGCGGCGGCGGCGACGACGACGACAACGAACACGGAGGCGAGCTGTGTCGGCGTTGGCGGCGGCGGCGGCTGCTGCTGCTTCGGCACACCGACGGGTTCAGGTAACAACAATAGTATAGATGTATTGCCCACAGCCGAACGCCTACGCGCGGCGGCACGTGATTGTGGAACGGCGGCGGCTACGTCGTACATTGCGCGCACAACGCACGGGTTTGTGATGACGTACCGTTTCGCCCCCGCGGCGGTCATAACAACGGCCGTTATTGTCGCGTCCGCTGTTCGCCGCCGCCGCGCGTACACAGAGAGAAAAAAGAAACCCGCGTGTCTGCGTTTATTATTATTGTTATCGTTATTGCCGGGCGGGTTTATTTTTGTTTTTTTTGTTTTTTTTTTTTCTACGTTTACCGACGCGAAATTCCGGCCGGTCGGTCGTTTTGTTTTTGTATCGCCGTCGTTAACGTTACGTACGCCCGAACGAAAACTCGCCGCCGAGTCGCACTGCGACACTGTTTTATTTATACCACAACGGGCATTATAAAATATCTCTGCGCGTATACATATATACATAAATATATGTACGTTTATATAGACGGTACCGGCTACAATCGTTATACATATATATATATATATAGATATGTATCGTGAACACGTGTTGTAAAACGTACAATAATATATTGTGCGGTCTTCGAGAACGTCCCTATACCATAGGTGCCCGAACCCCCCTCTAACCCCTTCCACACCCCGTCCACCCCTTCGGTACGCGGTCGTGCCGAGCGCTGCCGTCGTCGCGTCGCAGCCGCCGTCGCCGTCGCCGCGTATCGTGTCGTATTCGAAACGGATTTCAGTTCGATAATTTCGTTACGGCCGGAGCGTCATCGCATCCGGGCGACGCGTTCCGCGTGGCATATGTTATTACGTACACGATATTATCATTATCATTATCATTATTATTTTCGGGCATATTACACTTATGACCTACATCCCGGACTTTTTACATTTTTTATTTTCATTTTCCCCGCTCGTCGAACCCGAATCACGTCGCGCGCCGGACGAATGGAGCGGCGTCTCGCTGATGCGGCGATCTGGTGAGCCAAAGCTTTTTCTCTTTTCTCATTCTCTCTCTCTCTTTCTCTCTCTCTTTCGGCCACTATAGCACCGCGTCTTTCGCGCGATGTTCCGACTGCGCCTATGTACACTGCGGAGTTCACAGAAATTCGCGTTACAGTCGGGTTTCCGACGAAATGCTTGTTTTGTATTTACTTATTTCTTTTCAAACGACCCGTGTGAAAAATTTTCGACGAGCGAAACCATCACTAGTCGTGTTCAACTCTGTTGCCGGCCGATATTGAAAACGCCCCGCGGACAGACAAAGTTTACGATTATCTACTTTTGAATTTAAAATGGCGGCCTATGGTAGAAAAAAAAAATCCATAAACAATTTAGTTTGAATGCGTCTCGGCGTCGGGATTATTAATTTCCGCCTACTCGTTGACGAGACGTTCCGATTTTAAGTGCGGGCGAGCGGTGTGAAGCGGGGCACACACTTAACCGCGAGTGCCGTGCCGCCACGCGAACGATGCTCTGCCGACCACCCCCAAACGCCGTACTTAAGAGTAGACATTTTTCGTCGACGGAAATTAAAACTCTCGACGCCGAAAATGCGGGTGACAAAAATAACGGTAACGTGTAACGTTTCGGAACCAATGATTCCGAGAAGTTTGTACGTGTCGTTTGAGAGAAAAAAAATAATTAGCGTTTCGCGGAAAATTTTTACTGAAAACCCATGTACACATTATGTAATAAGTACCCGTATTATGAACCACCTATAGTGTCGGTTTATGTAACGACGTAGGCGTATAGAAAAAAAAAAAAAAAAAAAACAAACGAAAGCCGTTCTTTTTAATAACTCGTACGCACCGTGTTTCCGAATAATATTGTGCCGCCGACCCCCGGGGGGTTTTCATCTCGCGTTTGGCCCGTTTGGCCCCGGGACGCGTTATTCGCGCGCGCGTTTAAAAATAAACGCCGCACGGCGTTTCTCGCGTTCTCGCCGGGCCCTCCCGCGCCGATCGACGTGTCCCCGTGGCACGTCGCTGTTTTTCGTTTTCGCGGCGACAAAACCGGCGCGGTAAACGGCGCGACCGTTCGCGCGAGAGTACACGATCTACGGGAAAATACCGCCGAGTATTCGTTTGTCGAACCGGCCGCGAATGTCGTAATGGTCAGGCTAGGAAAACAAAAGAAAAAAAAAAATCACGTCGTTATAATGTTCGCTCGCCACTCCGCGGCACGCCGTACCGAAAACGCTCTGTACGCACCGTAAAGCGATTCCGAGCCCTTCTTCCCCGCGTTCAGCGAAACAACGTGAACGGCGCAATTCATTCGGAAAAAAAAAAAAAAGCACACTGTTCCAGAACTATGCCCGGGCCCGGCGGCGCCGGACCGCGCGTGTTTAAGACGGCGGACGGGTAAAAAGTCGCATGCAGACCGCCACCGCCCTTTGCGTTCGCGAAACAAACTCCGATACAACGCTCTTGCCGTTAATTGACCCGACGGAAAAAAATGGCCCGGCTATACCCGCCGTCGATCCACCGCCGCCCACCCGTCAAAACAAGGGTGGCAATTGCCGTCCGTCCCCGACTGCTGGTTTCGGCGCCATTGCCCCGGGTTAAAGGCGCGATTCCGATAAGTGTGGCACCAAGAGTTTACGACGGTTTTGGATTAAATCTCATCGGTTCCAGGCGAAAAGTCCTCGGAGAAAAATCGATATCTCAAGGTTGACCGAATTTCGAAAACTCGAAACGTTTATTTCGCCAATTTATGTCGACGGCCTTTGGTGTAACGATGCGTTTGATTTTACCCTGTGTTCTATCCAACGTGGCATTGCACTGCAGATCGAAGGTTATTTTCGATTGAAATGTTGTCCGGGTGAGCGGCGCAACTGCAAGTGATATAATAATAAAAAAATTCCAATTTATTTTTGACCGCATTTTGGATTAATTCCTATCGATCAAATTTTCGAAGACGTCGATTTCGAGATATCGATGTTGTCTCGAAAACTGTTGAAACACCTAGTGATGGTAACACTTTCGAAAACCGATTTGAATTTATAATTATGTCTACTTGAAATCGTTAAGACGAATTTTCAAAATGTTACCCCCGCCCCCTCTCCGCCAACTCCTATAAATTCGGTTTGAACATTCGTAATTTAAGAATTTTCAGTATTCGGAATTAAAATCAGAAATTTTAAAATATGGACCGACCGATCTCGAGTAGACACCATAACGAATTCAGATTCGCATTATTAGACATATAGATCGACCTATAGGATGGACACGAGGTAAATAATTTTAATCGAATAAACGTGTTTTATTTGATTAAAATTATATTCTGAATTGTTCTCGCGCGCGACGCCGCGATGGTGACTCATGTGGGCGCATGCCACGTGCGTAAGCGTTTCTCCGAAACTACTGGTTATCCTTATCGCGTGACGAACTATAAAATCGTACGTTTTTCATCGTAATAAATTTAAAAATCTAACGTTCTCTACGTTCAGTCACCCGTTGGAATATGTTCGTTTGGAACCAAACGAAATCAATCATCAGGAATGGATAACAGTGACGAATGTATTGGCATTACCACTCATTATAATATAGGTAACCGTCGTCTGGCAACTATTTGTTTGGTAACGCGGTCGAACCGTAGGAATTACTACGTGCAAAATCAATTATCTCTAATCAATCCCTAGATCGGTATCCCGAATCTCGACGTACATTGATGATTGATAGCACTGTATTTGGAATTTGGTTTCTCATTCTCCGTCTCAATAATGTAAGTGTAGACATAGATTCGACGGAAGCGAAAATCGAACCTGTTTTTCGTTTTGGCGGAAACCGTGATCGCCCCCAACCCGTAAGCATTGAGTAAAGTGATATTCAGGCGGTACGTTCCGAGGAAATGTGCGGGTTTTTTATTTGATCTTTTGAGAACAACTCATCGCCCTTCTTTTATCGTTATTTCGTGACGTGTATAGCGGTTATTTCGAAAATAAAATAATACCGATCGTTTAAATCGCGGTGTCCGCCCATTTCTCGCTTCTGTTTATTTGAAATTCCATATATGCGTAATAATAAGGTTATTATAAGACATGACCTTGCGGTCCTTTGCGGTAAAATGCTGTTATTTGGTCGGATCAAAAAAAAAAAAAAAAAAAAACGGACATACTTCGCACGTGGGCGGGCCACTGCAGTTGTAGGTGAGAAGTTGGGAAGGTAGTAGAGAGGAAATTTAATATATTTCTGTAAGCAGCGATAAANAAAAAAAAAAAAAAAAAAAAATAATAATAATAATAATAAATAAATAAAGAACGTGATGGGTAGTAAATTATAGTATACCTGCCGTAAATATGCACTGTCTCTGTCACGCTACGCGAGTAATAAAAGAGAAACGAAAAAAAAACAAAAAAAAAAACGGACATACTTCGCACGTGGGCGGGCCACTGCAGTTGTAGGTGAGAAGTTGGGAAGGTAGTAGAGAGGAAATTTAATATATTTCTGTAAGCAGCGATAAACCATTATCGAACGAAAAAACGATTCTGAGCGGAGTTTAGTTGATAGTGTTGTTTTGTCAACAATATATATAGTAAAATAATTGCATAGGCGTTATGTATTTTCTTTAATAATATTTGCTTAATATTGTACCAATTTTCCCGTTTTTCCTCCGCTTTTTCCAATTTATCGGGAAAATTAAAAAAATGATCTGCCTTGAGTCACTCTCCAGTCCGATTTACTCTCAGTAATAGTGCTACACTTGTAAATCGGAGCGAGATTTCTGGTAGGAAAGTTGTCCATAGAAAAAAAAAATATCAAACATCATTATAAAACCATGAGCTTCTTCGCTCCATTCAGAATCTAAAATAAACGCAGTGTAAAATTATTATAATAATTTATTTTGATGTCTTAGGGAAACTTATTACAGTCAATTAAAATACAGTGTTTGCCGGAGATCAGGTAAATGCAACAAATTTTGTTCTGTTCAATATTACGTTTATCTTCCTCTTTTGTGATAACTATTCTATAGCCTTGCGCCGTGGCTCTTCTATTTGATATGAGTTTTTTAATTAAAAATAAAAATTTGAATTTCAAAACAAATTTTTTTTTTACAAAATCCAAGACATTTTACATATTTATTTTGAAACAAAATGTTAGTGTTAAAAAGTCGTTAATTTTCTACAATTAATCGAAGTTCAAACCTTTTTATCGAAAAATCAAACCAAATTATTTTTGCGGCGAATCGATCGTCATTATTTAGTAATGGCAACGAAAACAATTTTAACTATCGTAAACTTCAAATACTAAAAATAATAATAATACAATTTATAGCTCTCTTTATTACCAAAAAGAAAAAAAGAAAAATATTGAACAGAACAAAAGTTATTGCATTTGTCATTTCTACGCGGGACATATTAATTTGAGTCAGGATAATATTGCGATAATGAAGAGCCGAACATAATTTCCGAGATGTTTGCAAAAAATGTACGGTAGCAAAGAAAAATCGGAGCACTATTGCTATCCGAAAATGAAAAAAAAATCCGTCACTTCTCCGCTACACTCGGAATCTAATGCAGTGGTTTCAATCTGAGAGTAGCGATCTCCAAAGTGGTCGCTAGGTATAGTCGAGGGTCGGGGGGGTCGCCAAAAGTTACCGAAAACGGCCTTTCTTACATAACGTCATCGTATAGTAAAATGTTCGAAGGGGTCACCTAACAGAAAAAAAAAACTATGCGGTCGCGATTCGTTGAAAACCGCATGACCTATAATGTATTATTGTGTTATATTATATTATAACACAAATCGAAAATATTATGACGGGGTAAAATAATTTTTGTTTTACTGGTAGGAAGAGGCCAACGACAGTGTAAAATCGTAGATTTTTCAAATCGCTACGGGAACGGGCATATCATTATAATGTTTCGTGATGGTGCGAGTTATTCTTGTTTTATCCGTTTCGTTCGTTACAGTGTTTTTACAACGCATACGCCCCTTGTTACGTTACCTATCAAAAATGTTTTCTGTTTACTACCCTCGATACATTTAGCTAACTTGCGTGGTTTCTCGCGGACCTATTAATATTTTCGGTTTACACACGGTTTGGCAGTTCGCGTGGTGGCCCCGCGCAGAGCATAACGTCGAAACCATAGATTACAGTGTAATTCAATAATATTAAATTAGTACATTTCCTTGAGTTTTATGTCATGTATTGCATTATTTCAATATTATACCCACGTTTTCGTAATTTTTCGATAAGTTGTTTGCGGCTGCAGTCCTATAACGGTTTCGTTTAAATGGGTAACAGTAATACACACAGTCATATACACAGATACACGCGCAAATTATACGGAATATTAATAGATTTTTTAATAAACCACGTGATTTTATGTTTTAAAAAAATATTGGATACCGATATTAATACACTTGTTTTCGTTCTACGTCCAACTCACTGGTGGCCAATTTTTTTTTTCCACGGACCGTAAAACAAAAAAGACCATAAATACTCTTTATCTATTTAAAATGTTAATCGAATGTTTTTTACAGGCATGATTTGACATTTTTTATTTTTTTTGTTTTTAATTCGATTATTATAAATTACAATAATACGCAAGGTGATTCACATAATCTAAAACTTTCCCTATCTTGAAACTATTAACTTTTTCGTAATTTGTATTTCGAAAACTCAAACAGCTCTAAAATATTAAAATGTTACATTATCGTCAATAATTTTATTCACCTTTATTTTCGAGGCGTGAAACCACTACCCTCGTTTGATTTTTAAATAGCCAATCTATTATAAACAAAAAATTCATAAATAGATTTAGTTTTAACTTAAATACTTTTTGGAGTTGATATTATTAAAAATATTCTAAAATATTCCACTTAAAAGTAGAATATCTCGTAAACGGGTTTATGGAATTTAAAATATCAATGCCAAAATGATTTTATACTAAAATATCTATGTACTCACAGGGTGCTATTTGAAAATCAAAAGTGGATAATCGCTTCACCCCCAAAAATAAAGATGACATAAATTTAACATTTGAGTTTCTGGATTCTTAAAAGTTAATATTTTTCGAGGTAATGAGTGTACCCACTTAAATGAATCACCCGGTATAATTAATATGAAGTATACAAAATAAATGTTTACACATAATAATAATTTTTTAAACTAGATATTTAATAATTTATTTAATATGAGTGATGACCTTGTTTCTGTGGACAAAGAACATCAATAATAGGTTCTTATTTGGTAGAGTTCACCCGAAGAACTACGATACGAAGATATTCATTAGTTATGCGAGACCGAGTTTTAATTTTATTGATTTACATATAGTTGAAAATACTTGCTCACAAATATAATAGATATTATAATATGTTAAACCGAATGCATATTGACTGCAAACGCTCAACTGCCCAACGCTTGGGAAATATATTTTAGATGTATTCAAATAAAATTCAGCGATATATACAGAATTTGAATAATATTATTATACTATGGTTTTAAATAATTGTTGGGTTGAAAATCGATTGTAAAAACAAGGTCAACATTTTCTAGATGTATTTATTATGAAAGCAGAATTTTCAAATCAATGCTAAAATATAGAAAACTTTTGCGATTCAGATAATAATAATGATCTAACTTATAGGTATGCAGCATACTAATACAAATATACAATCTAGATCAATTTTTTTGTAATTAATCAAATCGACGTAGTGAAACCTATATAAGAAGTTTGAAAGTAGATTTGAATAAAACCTAAAATCTTTCTTCCTGACGATCGGTCAGATCAATTTTATTTCAAATAAATGTTATGTTTTTTTAATATAATTATGTATTATTTTTTGAGAGCCTTCATTCCAACTATTTGGGATCGACCACCTTAGTCATAAACTTACATTTGACCAGATATTCCACCCCACATATACCGGCTGTCTTCATAACACAAGTTCTCAATCGCATCCAACCACGGAACCACCTCTTTTTCGACCTTCCTAGCCCCTTCTTCCCATTTACAATTTTTGTTTTTAATTAAAATTATATTATAAATTGTTGTATTTTGACGATATATGTATATTAAAAAACAACTGGGTATTATAAAGTATAAAAACAGAAAAAAAAAACATAACATAAAACGTGTAATGCCCAGAGTCGTTAAATTTTAAAACCTAAACGGGGAATGTAATTAATAATATTTTTAATTAAGATGACATTATTTGAGCGAAGAGCATTAGTGTCTCAAAAATTAGTTTGGAGAAAAGTGTCCTATTACGTTTATTTTCATTACAATTCTTATTACGTCTGATTCCTCTCTTCTCATGGTATATCCAAACCATCTCAGTTTATTTTCTCTCATTTTGTCTACTATCGAAGCCACCTAAGCTACCTTATAAGTAATACTCGTTCCTTATCCTATCTTTTCTCGTCACTCCCCTCATCCACCTAAGCATTTTCATCTCTGCTATACTCTTTCTCTGTTTTATTTTTCTATCTACCGTCTTACATTCCAAACCATACAACGTGTTAGTCTCACCACACTTTTGTAGAAGTTACCTTTAAGTTTCATTGGAATTTTCTTATTACATAAAACACCTAACGCTTCTTTACATTTTATCTAATCACACTTAATCTTATGTTTCACATCCTCGTCAAAGACACTGGTCTTTTGTACAAAAGATCGTAGGTGTATAAAACTCAACCTCGTTAACTATGTCCCCGCCTATTGTCAACAATTGCAATACCAAAATGTATTTAAACTATATACTCCATCTAATTATGGAATTATTAATACTATCAATATACTTCAATTATTTTTTTTTATCGGTACTTTTAAAAGTACTACTAGAAAATCAATATTGAGTAGTAATTTCGTCTCCTTGAAATGATGGTGCCGAAAAATAATGTTAATGTTTTAGAGCTACTTGTTTCTTAAAGGTTCTAAAAAAAACAAATTTCAAAAAAGTCAATATTTTAGAAATATCGACACTTAAATGAAACACTGTATATACTTTTTATCCTTTTTCCGCAACTCTTTTAGATTTTCAGTGGCTCCCTCTGGATCAAATGAACTCAATCTCGAGAATTAGTTGTTTTATGAGTGGATTTAAGTGATACAATTTTTGCTGAATAATGTTGTAGGAGGAGTGTGTTTTTAGCTTTGTACGTGTACACCCCTTCAGGCCCTCTAAATAAAGCCATAGAGATTAAATTTTGTACATGCCTATTGTACGTATCAAGAATGTGCCTTTTGAAGGTTTAATTTTTAAATCCCGTATTCAACCATTTCTATGCCCAAATTTTATATTTTTACAGAAAATACCGGTTTATAAATACCCCTAAAAACTAAAATGTAATAAAACACTGAAAACTACAACCACAAATACTTTAATTTACAAAATGTATTTATTTTAAAATATTTATCTATTCAATAAGACGTCGTGTTAGTTTATTTAAAAGATTGGATGTGTTTGGAGCTTTTTAAGTGCATATCTTGCTATTTTTTGACGAGGATTCGAAAGGGTTTTTAAAGGGTTTTTTAGTGTTATAATAAATAATTCATTACAGTCCAAATGTTCTTACTGAAATACTGATTAATTTATTTCATATGAATTATTAATTTATTGATCAAAGAGCAGGTTGGTACCTATATTTTAGCGGTTTCACTACCGAAATATTGTTATGCAGAGGACAAGGTTGTGTTTTTATCGTCGGTCGCAAGTATAACAATTACGTAGGTAACTAAGTTTATGCAGATAAAAAAAAACAAGTAGATACGTTCGTTAAACATGTATTTTTGAAATAAATATTTTTAATCGTTCAATATAATTATTAAAAAAAAAAAATATGCATACATTTAATTTAATTAATTTAGTTTTTCACTTAGCCTATAGTTGAAATTAATAAAAACTGATAAAAAGATCATTAAATTTCGGCCGGAATTGAGTCTCAAAATCGAATTAAATTGCAGGAATAGGGATTGACTTATAATGGAGTTTTGTGTATTTTCCCTTAAGGGGATTGGAAACGAAGAGCTTCTGTCTTTGTATTACACACGTGAGATATAGGTATTTAGACATGTTCTAATTCCAACGTACCGATTGATCTAGTGAAGCGATAAGAATTCTGGAAACAAATTTGAATTTTTCGTGAAGTCTACTTGAGATCGACTTTCCCCTTTTTTAAATTCATCTCCTTAAATTCTAAAAAAAGCAAAAATAATAAAAGAGTAATTGAAAAAATGGAATATTTTAATTTTTCGATAAATTAAAATCAAAAATTACAATTAAGGAAGATTTCTTTAGTAGTTATATTTTTATTACCACAATAATATTTCAATTCAAAATAATAATATAATTGATTTAAGTGTCGCCGAAATGGGAAGTTTTTTAATATCTTATAAAACCGATTTATTTTCCGGCCAAATGGGAGTTGGCTACGTGGGAAGACACGGTTTGTATAGTTTTTATTTTCAATAGGTAACCTTTTTTTATTGTTTTAATCATGATAACCTGTATAACAATATGTTAAATTCATATAATTCAGGTCGACCGATCGACGGTTAACAAAAAAAAAAAAAAAAAACCCCGTAGATAATTATACGTTATTTATTGATTTATTATGTGGTAGAATATTTTTTGGACACCAGTATGTAAGTATAGGTGCATAGTAGATGACTTATCTTCAACTAAATAATATATTATTTACGGTATTGATGAAAATGCATTATAGCGGGTCACCTAGTCTGGCGGCGTGGTGACGTACGACATCATTAAATTATTAAAATATAGGTACAACTATATTATGTACTCGTACTTCTTATACACGGCTAAAATAGTATGTACTTACAAAAATTAAATACATATACAATATAAATTGTAAAGACGAATATTGGAATTTTACGGTTTAATGTAGACCGTTCAGGTGGTATACTTTCAGACCGTGTCTTCCCCGATGATAATGAAAAAAAACGCCCGGAAAATCCAAGTCCTAACATACTCCAACTTAGAAACATAAAAATCGCACCTAGCTCGTCACGAAAACCGTTTTGGTTCAAAACTGGTACTGTTCCCGAGGGAGTCGGTTTCCTAAATGTGAACCTGAAATCAAGTCGATGAAAATTCACGACAAATTTAGATAAAACAGAGAGAAAGATGGAAAAATCACATCGGGTAGGTCACGGGCATTGGAGGTTTACTATGATACGTAGTGTGATGCGCTCTTATTGGTTGAAGGAGCAATGGTAACATTCCGCGGTATAAGAGAGGTACTTCGTCGAGTATCGGATTATAATAGGCTGTGTAAATAAATCGTTGTTAGTTACATATACAAAAAGAATTATAAGGGTAAAATTTGAGTAAAATAAGTGAACATCCATAATGAATACAAGTTTTATCTGTTTGATTGTTAAATTTTCCCCGAAAAATAAAGACTATCATAGAATTGCACCGTATTGTGTCTGTTTATATAAATATAATATTATGTAGTATATAAGTAGTATATATCTTATACCCGATACTTAAGAAAACTCTTAACTCTTGACCAAATGAAGTGAATTAGGTTTGTTTGAAATGCAGATTGAAGTTGGGTTGAATTTCAATATTAATTCAACGTGTGATTGCAAATGAAAGTTATTTTCTTTAGCCTTGGACACTCTTACAGATCTTTCAAATGAAACCCGGGGGATCTAATTTTGTATATGTGTATAACGTCAGTATCAAGGATACTGCTCCAGGATATACATGCCCTTTAAAAGTTTTCATCTTTCAACTCTCTCCTCTATCATTGGTCTCTTCAAAATTCACGAATTTTAGGAATGCAGTATAGTTGGAGTACATATTATAGTTTTTATTGTTTTACAAAGAATATTTCTATTACGTAAAATAAAATACCTGGGGGCTCTAGTGACTGAACTCAGTTGCGCACTGGTGTTTTATTATACAATTATCGTAAATATGAATATTCAATTAAAAATTACAAACATTATGACCGCAAAATAATAAAAGTACCTTTATTAATTAGTTGCAATAATATTATATGTTTCGTCCGTCATAATTATTAAAACTGTTAAAATTATTGAAATTTACGTTTATTTGCGCTGTTATAACGTAAAATAAAATATTTTTCAAGTGCCGACCTAATATATTACATGTTGTTTTTTTTTTTTCTAATGAAAGTATAATGTACATAATACATATATAGGACTTAGAGGTATATTATCATAATAATAAAATCTGATAAACAAAACAAAATTAAAATAAGGTTCAACGATTCGCAAAATTGCCACCATCGAATACAATCATCTTTTAAACGCTGATTAAGGTTTTTATGCGAAATAATAATATTATATTATAGTGACACACGACGCGCATTGTAAACCATCTCGAATAAAAATAATAACAATTGAAATCGTTCGGTTTGTTAATAACAGCAGCAGCAGCTATAGTGCATCCATTGTAATAATTTACTGCATTCGTATAAGTACGGCGCGCATTAAAATATCATGACAAAATATTTTTCATTTTATCGCGTGGCGGTTTGATTAGTTTGTTATAACAACTGCACATTATTATATTTTATAAAATAATATTTTATATGTATATATACGTATTAAAAACCATCGCCGCTATAATCGTTTCGGAACTAATTTCGAATTATACCAATGCATGATGGCGGCAGGGCGAAGCAATATGTATATACACGTGTACGCACGCATGCGTTTTTCATTATTTGAATGATTTCAATAGGATTTTTTTATTTCCATACGAGTATTATACGCGAGGGGATACGACGAGTATAATACCGTCGTATGCTATATAATAATATATTATGTGCAATGGAAGTTGTTAATATTTAATTTAATGAATTCTAGGATGTCACGGTCAGGAATTTTGCTGACGTCGTCGATGTCTTTTTTTTTTTCAAATATATACTGTATAGTATATAATATATTATTTATACCTACCTATGTCCTATATTATTGCGTAAAATATTATAAAGAGAAAAAAGCCGATACTGCTGCTGACACAGTGGAGTGTCACCACCGTTGTACATATACCAAATATAGGTGTGGGAATACGGTACACTGAAATTATAATAAAACTAATAGAATCATTTGATTTATATCGGCTGTGCGCGACAATTGAATCGTGTTGCTAAAGGAAAACGATTCTGAGCGATGTTCGGATCGAACTTGTTATATGTCGCAGATTTTCACGATTTTTGAAGAAACACTCAATTCGGCGAACCGGGTACTTACAAGAATTTAATCTTTTTTGTTTGATTTTTAATCTAGTTGCTGACCATCAAATTCGTTTTTTGATTTTCTTTGTAGTTTTTTTAATGATTGAGCAAAACCGAAAAATACGTAAAAAAAAAAAAGGAAAATGAATATAAATTATTATTTTATTATTTTGTTTTTTTGTTGTAATTCAAGTTAAAATATTCGTAGAGACTTAAAGTGTTGACAGAACACTTATATTTACTTTTATGGATGTGGTAAAACTTTCCTGATAAAATTTATAATTTTAGAGTTTTTTTACGAAATTTTTATTTAGTATTTTGTTTGTAGATACTTTGTTAGACTTAAGAGGAATGTTTGAAAATTCGATAGGAGGTTTATTATAAGTCGTTTTTAGTAGTCAAAATGAAAATTTAGTTTAACGTAGTTCGGCCTACCAAAACGTGTATAAACGAACTTCGCTCCAAATCGTTTTTCGTTATCAATGGTTTATCGTTGGTTATAGGTATACATAAAATTACTTTATGTATCCCACCTTTCACACTACCCACCCACAACAGTGGCTGCACCCGTCCCCAGTATCAGCTCTTTCATTTTTTTTTTTTCGGTGAATATTTAATATGATAATGCAATATGTATTTCAACGCTCATATGATGGAAATAATAAAAATATTAAAAATAATATATATATAATAATGTTGATTTTAATTTTCAAACGATTCTATAAATTATTTAAACAAATACGCGTATACAATTAATATTGTGAAATAAATAAATATAATATTCCGAAACGCTGTAATATGAAAAAATCCACTTTTTGTAAAAGGTGGATATTTAATATTATTAGGTGTTCGTGTATTGTAATACATTACAATATTTCTGCAGGTGGGTGCGGGTGCAAATAAGGAGTTTCGCGATATCGTATACATATTTTAATAAGTTGTAAGTACAAATTCTCATATATGTACATACCATTTTAAAACATTATAACAAATACAGGTATTATGTACGCGTTTCGAACGCAGATATACCGCAAACATCATACGTAGGTATAATATAATATTTATAAATAACGGAAGACGATGAGTTATGTGTGTATTTTATTTTGAGAATTAAAAATATTTACAACGTTATTTTAACCTCGTTTCTTTTGTCGATTGTGCAACTTGCGCACATAAGATGCAAATAATTTGATATTTTTAACTACCTACGTATACAACACAAGATAGCCGCAGTATTCATCGCAATATAATGCAATAGGATAATAGAAAATAATATTATGTACGCGGTGAGAGGAAGTAGGGGTTGAGGGAATTGGGAGTTCATTCTCCCAGATATGTATTTGTTTATAATACTATTTGACAATATTTGTGTTTTCATTTAAACCGGTATTCGCGAATACAATTTCTATTAATCCATTATTACGTATAAATGTACTACTCGACAAGTACATAATATTATACAGAGTGATTTTGTTTATCATGAACCAGCATTTTTCTTGGATGTTTTTCAGTGAATTTGATTGTGGATTAGTTTGAGCTTTATTTTAAAACTACTTTTAATTTTTACCCCTACTCCATATACTTACCTTAAATAAGTATATCAGTACTTTTGTTTTTCAAATGCGAATCCCACCCCTTTTTGAACATAGATTCGAATAGAGAGTATTTTTCTAGACATTTTGGTATGCATACAATTAATATCAGATTTAACGTTTATGATAACTTTCCTCTGCTCTTTCGGTCTAAACTTAAAATGGTTACTTATAATTTATTCTTAAACGGTAAATCTGAAATTAGGTTTATCCATACCAACATTTTTAAAAAAATGTTTATTCGAACCTATATTAAAAATATATATACTTATTTAAGGTATGTGGATTAGGAGTAAATAATTTAAAAATAAAATTTAAACGATTCTATAATCTAAAAAAAAAAAAACCAGAAATCAAATTCACTTAAAATCCTAAAAAAAATTGATGGTTCATGATAAAAATAATTACTCTGTATAATAATATTTTATATTTTATACTTGTATTTTCGCCGAACCGAATGTTATATTATGAGATTATATTATATTATGTAATGTTGTATAATATAATAACATGGATTATTTTTGGATCCCTCCGTCCCTAAAACTAAATTTAAATCAGGTCCGGGCCAGGAATTGTCGGCTCGTGTAGTCCTTTAATATTTAACAATATATAGAGAATAAATTATATAGGTATACGTATTTATACTTTTATATCAATTGGTCATAAATATTTTAAAACACCATTCTGACCGTTCCTAGAAATAACAATTTCCATTATATTTTTTGTTTCTGTTTTTCTGTTAACTCGTGATTTTCGACGACTATTACCATATTATTTAACATTTATAACCACGTCAAACATATTTCGAAAATCTTGTATCTATATATTATTTCTTGCTCAATTATAATTCCATTTTGTATATGCAATTATATTTCGTGATCTTGAAAAATCTAATAAAATTATTCAAATCCATGTAAGTACTTTCGTTAATACTCCTACTATAGCAAAATGGTCACGAAATCATTATTGGCCGTTTATAATAGTTATTAGAACAATTTGAAATGACAACAGAATATTTATATTTGATTCGCTAATTTACAAAATTAACGTTAGTTTTAACTACTAACTAGGTAAAAATTACTATATAGTTAAAATAGTTGTTATATTTTCTAAAATTATTAATGTTAATTTTTTTTTTTTTAATATTCGTGTAAAAAATTCTATTTTTATTTCTAAAGAAGATATGATGGTATATACAATAATAATACTATATTTTGGACGCAATGATTGTTGTTTTCAAATGAAATACAATAGACAATACATACCTGAAATTATTATCCACTCAGGTAGACCTTCAAACTTAATGACCACCCAGCGAGCAAAGAATGTCTGTATACTTATTATAAGAATCATAATATATTAGATTGGCTTGTGACTAATATTATTTTATTTTTTTTTTTAGCAAATATATATTTAGATACAGATTTAAGTCAACTTTTTATAATTTTGAATATAAGCAAATTAAATTTTAAAAATACTTTCACTGTTATCATTTTAAGACAAAATAGTTACACAAGACAATGAAAAAAATATAAAAATAAAAAATGCCAAAAATTGATTTCTTCTCTGGGACCAAAGAAATATTTATTAACAATTATAATAATAATAATCACAGTTTGATACAGTAACGTAATTATAAATTTATCATTAAGGGAATGGGGAAGTCTAGATAATTTTCTCAGCGCAGTGCTGTGGGGGACAAAACATCTACACTTCCCAACTTCCATATTCACCAAAAACTACACAGTTATCAATATTCAATAGTAGAATCTATTATTTTTTGAATAAATCTGAATTTTTCTATCCAATTATATTGAAATCTAATCTATATTTTGTTTAATAATAATTCTATGTGGTAAACTGAAATTTACAATATTAAAACTATTTATAATTATAGTTCATTTCGTTAATTCGAATACCTATTGAAGCGTGAGAACGCTGTACATATTTTGTACGAGTATATGATGAATTGACAAATTAAATGTTCATTACTAAATATAGGCTATATGTGTAATCCATGAGTATGTATAATATATTAAATAACTTTTTTTTTGACTTTGTGAGTTAGAAAAATATTAGTTTTTCATTTACTTACTAAAAATTTTAATTAACTCTGGGGTAACAAAATTACGAACAACTATTAAATTTTTTTGGTAACTATATACACATAAAAATTTAACACGAAGTAATGGATATTAATGAGGGGGATAATGGACTATGGTGGAAAAATAGTCTGAATTCCATGAGCTCTGTAAATTCACTACTGATTCAATGAGAAATCGTGTAGCTGGTATCTCTCAAATAATTATAGTTGAAAGTATTACGAAAAACTACTTTGAAAAAGGAAAATAGTATAGGTTTTATGCTGTTCTTAAAAATGTATCAAAATACACATAACATTTAATAGATAAAATTGTTTTGATAAGAATTATGCTCATTTTTACCTGGTACACTTAAAATTTAATTAGAGATAAGGTTTCCTTAAAATAATTTTTTGCTGTATGAAGTCTGTTATTTGTATAGAATACTTTAAGGGTTACATCGAAATTATGAAAATTATTTGGTGTTTACTAAATATAGTTTACCTAGACAGGTTTACCTGTAGGTAGATGTTTAAACACTTCAGTTCACAGTTATTGAAACTTATATGAAAATCATCAGTACCTAACCTAAAAATGATTAAGTTTACTGTTTGAAGTTGGGGAAGAAAACAACGAAAATTACTTTAAGTGTTCCTCACAAAAGTATTTTTAAAAATCCATGGTACAACATAATCATAACCTCATCTTAATAACTTAACCTTAATGAAGCTTAGCTAAATTGAGTTTAAATATGAATTGGTGCAAATGGCCATTAGTGACAAAAATATTAAATTTGCCTATTTTTTTTTACTCTTTCAAAGACGATTTCAGAAGTAGGTGTTTTATGAAACAAATCGAATGTACCTGGTACCTCCTATACACAAATATTTTGACTCGTATATTTATGATAAAAATACTATATAAATAATATTCTTTAACTAAAACATTCACAATAAATATATCTTTATACTCCCTCGTATAATATTAATATATAATTATTTATATATTATATACATATTATGATACGTATATAAAGAAACAAACGACTTTATTTTCTGCTAAAAATTATTTTAATATTATGTTTGCATCGCATTTAATATTGAAAATGTTATGATAGGATTTGCATAACAAAAAAAAAATATATATATATATATATATATATATTTTTTAACGTGTTCTCAGCATATTTGAATTGAAAAACAAATAATAATAGAATACGTAAACATATACCAATACTGGACACATTAAAAGAATTTGCGGTTTTTAAGTGGTAATGATTTTTGTATACAAATTATACAATATATAGGTAAGTACTCAAAATTTGCTTTGAACATGAAATATACCAAGCTTATCTATAGTGCGAGCCCTAACACGGGTATAGGACATATTTAATCCAGATTGGCCTTTTTTTGCTTAACAGGTCTTATTAGGGCTGTGGTTTGGGCTTATAGGCTACAATCTATGAAGCTCATACTTAAATACGGCACTGCCGGGTAATGTAAATAGAAAATAAGATAATTTATTTTAACGTAAAATGTATACATTATTATATTATTTAAAAGGAAACAATGTATAGGTTCTGTACCGTTGTGGCAAAAGCTGATGTGCCAAAATTAAATTATTTTATTTTAATACAATTTGGGCATTATATAATTTATTTGCAATTTCTTTTAAAAGTTTAACGGAATGTTTATTATTAATTGATGATTTTTTGTCATCAATCGTCACGATAACTAATTTTAGTCGGTAGCTTATCAAATGTATGCGTCGTCCAATATTTCACATTGCTCTTAATATAATAGAATAAACATTCACTATGGTATTTAAAGTCTATATTATCGATTTTTAATTTTAAAAATTACGTAATTGTCAATTATGCGTATTTGGTACTGTGTTTTCCGTTAGGAAAAAATTTCCACTACTTCCAAACACTTGTCATTTTTAAGTTTTTACCGTTTTTTAATATTGCATCGATTTGAATAATTCGAAAATCCTTAATAAACTTTAACAAATAAACAATTTTTTTTTTAATATTACCTCTATAACTCCGTCTCTAATTTATATTTAACTCATATAATAACACTCAACTCATTCAAACTTTGAAAATTTAAAAAAAAAAAAATATGAATTACTGGAAGAAAATATTTTTGTATCTATATGAAATCTTGATTTTATATTTTTGTTATTACATAATCAAATAATTGTCTCGTGAATATTTCTTCCGAAACGTTTAAATTTCTTATCATCTCTATTAGTTTTATTTCATTAAAATACTGCCGATAAACACAGTTATTATACGTGTCCATTTAATTGTGTTGTATTTGTCATGTTATTCATAAATGAATGATGATGATATTTTAAATAATATTTGTTTTTGAGTTTTATAGTAACGCCGTAACAGTTATATGTAGCTTACAAAATACAGTTCTCTGTACATTTTTATACTTGCCAGTTAAACACTTTATATTACATTACTTTACTTTATAAACATCCTGTATTTAATTGATAATTTGATAATCCAATTTATCAAATTATTTTCGTCAACTATATTATGTTTAAATGTATATTGTATAATTTATTTTTGAAATATTTTTAGTGCATTTTTCGAAAAAAATTCGAAATACGCCATATTAAAAGCATATAAAATGAGTGAGCATTCCTAACATATCATATTGTATATTTATATTATTTACTAGGTATAATATTATAGAAAAGTACCACTGTTCGATAAAATTTAGACGATTTACAGTCTTAAAGATATTGGTTTTTTAAAACAAAAAATTGAGAATTACATATTATAATGAAACCGACTGTATAAGTGACATCAAATTTCTAAGGACTGCTGTATTACATGAAAATTCAATGTCCATACATGTCGCGATAATTACTTATAATTTTTGGTGCTGCCGAAAACGCACTAAAAATTTTTTCGGAGTCCTCTAAACAAATTATACAAAATCTCTCAAAATTGATATCACTGTAGTAGACAAACTTTACTCGTAGATGTATGTAAACAAAACATTAAAAAGATCGAAACATTTTGGAGAGGGAAATAACGCTGGTTGGAAACGCTGGATGAAAATCGAATTAAATCAACGAAATATAAAATATTTTTAAAAAAATGTTTATAAATGCGTAGAAAGTATGCAAAACAAATTTATCATATTTTATAAATTAATACATTTTCCTCGTGTTTCGTTTCCATCTTTTCCATACATATTAATTACTATTATTATTATTATTGTCGTCTATTTTGATTTCGAAAACGGTTACACGCAAACATTAGGAACTTGTGTATAATTATAAGTATACAATTTTTTTTCCGTGAATAATTATATTTAATCGAGTGCTTGTACATTTTTTTTATCGTCTTGAATTTCACAATACAATACCGAACCCGTTTATCTGAGAAAAAAAAATATCGTAACTTCTATTTATATATTAGAACTCCGGTTAAAAGAAACGACGTGATATTATTACCACTATAACACGCAAACTACAGCACAAATGGCAATTGACGACGCAATTGATTTTTTCGCTTTCGGCGTTTCTCACACGAGCACAAGACACAATAATATAGTATGGGTAACCACCGAACGCTGCGGATATTATATTACATTTGGATAATTATATAGAGTACCTATTATACATATTTTATAACAACACCGGATAACTAAATTATATCTATAATACACACAAATATTTAAATATACCATATTATACTATACAGCATGTTCTGTACGGAGTATTTTAATTTATTATTGAACAACCGCCGTGACTATTATGGAAACAACAATAAAATATTTATGCTTAAGGTCGCGTACAACTTTTCATTACTTGTATATTTAACGATGTTACTGGATATTTTTTAGTAAATATTCACTTCGTTTTCACTCCTCGTCTTCCTCGCAAAAAGTTAATGAGTAGATCGACCAAACCTACTCATTCGCTTTTGGACTGTCTTCAGTTACCTTATCTCCCACACTTGAAAAAATTTCCTTCATAAAATATAATGTTTTGTTTGAGAATCTATTAATTCAATAGTTTATCATATACTTTTTAGTGGACACAGAGTAAGTAAGAGCTTCTCTACTGGTTTCCCAATATACTTTACTGTACCCATGTCGAAAAAATATTAACTCCGAAAATTCCAAATATGCTCTAAATAATTAAGAAAATTATATTTTAAAGAAATCGAAAAAAAAAAAATAAATACAATTTCTCATTCTCATTCAAAAGTACATAAAACGAATTTGTAACAATACGAGCATTGCACAGCGAGCTTTGAAAAACAATCCAAAGCGTAGATAAGTCCTAACCCTATTTATGATACTATGTAATTTACAATTATTGCAGGTCAGTGGGTTGTTGATTTACTAATCCAATCGGATAAAAAATAATTCATAATATTGATTATCGTAATCATATAGTTACCTACATAATTTCTGTTTTAAATAATTAAAAATGAACAGGCACCAAAAAAGCATACAAAATTGTTATACAAATGTTACCATCATAGAAAAAATATTATTTTGTGATACACTCATAGAACTTTTAGTTTCGGGAAGACCAATGTTTAAATTTTTAATGTGCCTGATTCAGATCTATAATTTAGCAAATCTCAAAATTTAATGAACGTTCAATAAATCAATAAACAATTGAATGATTCATTTTAGAGCTGTATCGGTTCGTTTAATGAATGATTATGCAACCCAACATTAGTCAGTCTGGTAATAATATAAGAACTAGACTTCCGTCACCCAATTGGCTGAACATATTGCAAAGACCTAACAAATATCTGATTAATTCGTCATATGATTATTTTAAAATTATATATTTTTTAACGAGATAAACTCTAATTAACCCTATAGTCTGTTGCAATTTGTCGATACATTTTGAAACTATCATATTTATTTGAATTAACGTTTAGTAAATAAATATAATTTCAGTTATTAACCAGTCATACCGAGAATAAAGACCGGTAGTTGAATAATATTGATAAAGTTTAAATTACAGTTAAAAAAATAAGATTTAAATTTTGTTTTATTTTTCTATTCAAGTTAATCATATATGATAATAAACGAAATTATATTCGAACGATCTTTTCAATTATCACTTGTTAAAAAATGTTCACTGCTTTGTTTTTGTTTTAACACGATACTATACACACCATTTAAAATCCATTCATTAATATTAATTATTATATAACTAATAATGGTCTGGTATTCATATTAAAATTGATTAAACCGTGCCCAAAATGATTGTCGCTTTTTTTAATGAAATTAAAAACTGTATTTAAAGGCCCATAACTGTTAATCTTTGATATACGTATTTTATGAAATAATAATAACGATTGATGTATAACGATGTATCTATTTGTTGATGTTTTACGATATAATCAATTATAAATAGTTTAAAAAATATTATAGGGAGTTTGTACCTATACACAGTAAACACCTATCGTAACGTCCTATCCCCCCGCGGATCCACAAATGTCAATTTTTTATTTTTATTTTTATTTTATTTTCTTTGAGAACAGGATAATATTTTTTTTTTTTTACAAGTTACGAATTGATTTTTATTTTAATCACTTATTATAATAACCTATGCGACTATAACTATATGTCATACATTGGTAGGTTCGTTGAAAGTTATAACTAATAATAAGTATACGGGTCATATGTATGGGTTATAGCAAATGATAGTAGGTGGGTCCGTGGAAAGATACTGTGTAGAGTTTACGGAAATAATATTCTTAATAGGTGTATATTATTTATAATTTGTAATCGATGTCAATTATGAAATAAGATATAAGATAATACGATTATTAATACGTGAAATTCACAGACGTATATTGAATTAATATTATAAAAAAATACATTACGTTTAATGTATTAATGCATCATATTATATTCAATATCGGCACACGTTTTATTAATTATATTTTCTAGATTTATAATACATAGATTTAGTATATTGTATACTCGTATACATTTCAACCATAATATTTCACATAATTGTACGGTTTTCTTCACAATAAATTTTAATGTAAAAAATACCTGTTTGTTTATCTATATAATTGACTTATATGAAAACGTAACTATACGAGTATATGCATATTTTAATAAAATAATTATTTAGCGACACATTACGAAATTTAACGTCGTATAATATGGCATCTATCTGTATAATATAACTTTAATGAGTTCCGTGTTCATGTATAAATTAAAAATTTGACGGTATAAGATATTCTTATTATGTTGTTTTCATTCTGGATGCAAAATTGTTTACTTATCCGTTTGAACCCAGCGGTCATCGTTTACCATCGCTGTCAAAAAATCGTATACAATTTGCACATCAACAGCTGATTATCATTTGCATCATCTATTTACCTGCTTAAAAATATCATAAATCTTACATCATTTGCGCACAATATCGAACAATGTGCTGTCTGTGTCTTATAATTACATGACTTGACTAATTTGCGTTCAACAGGACCAATTTTGTGTTAGTTTCAATATTGAAGCGAATTGGTCAATTATGAACTTTGTTGGTAAAAAAAAAAAAAAAAAAATTTAATACGTTTGTACGCCGGATTTATTCGATGCCTATTTTACATATTAAGCGACACAATAGCGTGTTTTTAAATGCAAATACTCACATCTCGCTTGAAAATTAAAATATCGAGAAAAAACTGACGTAAAAACAAACAAACGTAAATTCACTTTATTATTAAAAATAACAGCAAAAAATTGGTCCTGCTGAACTCAAATTTGCTGTGCTATACGTTGGCAAAACTGAGACAACACAAGTAGGTATCACGTCCTCTTAACCTGTTGTGCAAATTATGGGTACAGATGATGGTGATTTGCCAATATCTTTTTCTTTTAGATTCATAAATCACAATCATATTGTAGTACTTTGTTATTTAGTATTTATATACAACCAGTTTTATTTTGTATTGTGTACCTACATATTTCCTACCCACGTATAGGTTTACCTGTATTACTATTTAATTTAATCCATAAGTTCAGGATTTTTTGTTTACTGTTTTTACCTAGATTGTTTTTTTTTTTTTTTACATGTATTGTAAGATCATATATACCAATAATTTTCAATACGAAGAACGTGTCCTAAATAGTTAACAACAAGACCGAGAATATTATATTATAGTTTTTTTTAAGCGTATTACTAATACATTTAAGGGTTCATTCCCACGTCGCCGACTCCCATTTTGCCGAAAATATTTTCTTTTGTTAATATTTACCTGTGACGTACGTTGCTTGAAGTACATCTACTCATGACTCCTTCCCACTATGTATAGCTCATGTTAAAACAACTCGTTTTAGTTGTCGTTTTTCCAAGGATTACACTAGTTTTCTTAAATTGTTGCTGCACTAAACTTAAATTATGAAAATAATAAGAAAAATTCTTCTGAACATCTATCTAATCGTTGATTACCTATTTTTATTATCAACAGTTTTTGTATTTTCGATAATACTAAATTTATATATTTACTTTAGCTCACGTTGCGATTGTGGCGTTAGAATTTCTTCAGTAATAATAATTTTATTGCGACAACAATATTTCAATTCAAAATAATAATATAACCGGTTTATTTGTCGACAAAATGGGAGTCGGTGTCTTGGGTGTATACACGCATTTAAATACGACTCGTAACAATAAATACACTGTAATGATGTAGGTATACCTACCTATATGTTATACAATTATAGTATTAATAGTCATATCATATTTTATTAGCTATTATTAAATATTATTTGTTTGTTAATCATAATACGGAAACAATATTCTATTAAATATTTATTAGACGCCACTTTGTAATAACTAGAACAGTGGGAGGGGGAGGCAGATAGAGAAAGATATTTAAATGGTTATTATATATAAGTATCCCCGTTATCCACTTAAACTACTTATTAACTTTTTTTCCTAAGAGGGGAGAAAAATGTTAAATATAACAAAAATTCTATAATTTCTGTCTGCATAAATCTTTAGCAGAGTCATTAAACGTAAAGCACCCAGGGCTGTAGTGGAAGTAATATACGGTAGTATACGGTGTATACCACCGTGTACCTGATCGTTACGAATAAATACTGTATACCTTCAGGTTATAGTCGTATGCTCTCTTTCATAGTAAAATCACAAAATATATTATACAAATATTATCATATTATTATAGTTATTATTTTAATTTGTTCTGATTACGAAAACATGAGTTATTTATTATTTATACCCTCTACTAAAACATTAGGTTAGACATTACACTTATACCTAATAATGGTATGGTTATAACTTATAGTATATATCCTCTGCTTTTGTACGACTACAAAAGTACGTATATATTTATGGTTTTTGACATGAATGAAAGTAAGTCTAGAGAGTGTATACAAAGTAATCAATATAACATAATACACTAATTTATTGTATTTCGGGAAGTATTAACTTCGTTAAAATTTTTTTTTCTTTTTTCTCTTAAATTTAAGAAACAAGCAGCTCTAAAATGTTACATTAATGTTATTTTTGGATGGATAACCCATAACATACTTTTGGTGTTGACATTTCCAAAATACTTCACATTTAAGTTAGTTATTTTATGGTTAGGGGTTAAGTAGCGGCGCATTATATATGTGTAACGGCATGACGCACAGTGGTTGAATCGAAATTTAACTTGCCTAAAAGTCAATTTTAAAATTATGTTTAAAACCATAAGATTTATGTTATGGAATTATTGATAATTATAAGTATACTAGAGATAATTTAATGCTTATCATACGTTTTACCCATCACAAACCTAATTAAATATCCAGATAAGTATAAATATAGTATATAAAACTGCATTAATAACAATTTCAGTGCCATACGGTAATCTCGTTTAAAAAGGAAAGTGTAGGTGAATTTGAATTTTTTTTTTTCTAATATGAATTCTACAAAATAAGGTAAGACCATTGTTATAGCTTTTAAAATTTATTTGTACAAATTATTCAATTTTGAATCTGGAAATCTTACGTTATTCTTATATTTATTAATTATAAAAGCGAATAACTTATTATTTATCATTTTTGTATAGTATATATAAATTATAGTAGAACTTTCAAGCTTTTTTCAGATCCATAAGAATTTTTTTCCGGTAATACCGGAAATATTGGTTTTTATAAAATAATACACTCTTTAAATTTATACAGCGTTATATTTTTATTTTTTCTATATCATATTGTAGTATTATCGTTACTTTTTTTTTTCTATTTATTTTTAACGTGTATAATATACAGTAAAACTTCCGTTAACGGTCACCTCTGTGTAACGGTAATTTTTTTTGGTCCCGTCAAATATTATGCTTCTATAGGAAACTTCTAAAGGACGATCACCTCTAAAAAGCAGTCATTATTTCCGGTCCTTTCGGTGACCGTTGTATGGAAGTATTACTGTATTACAATATTATTATTTTGTAAGAATTAGTAATGTATTGAAAGATCAAAATAAAATAAATTTAACTTGTGGTTATTTATTAGAACTGTTGCGAAAAAAGGACCATTAAATCCAACTAGGAATGAATCTAGGAAATATTTAGTTGAATTAATAAAAATAAAATACATAATGTTCGTATAATTTTATAGAAAAAGTAGATTAAACATAATAAACATTGTAATATATTTGTTCAAAAATAAAACCAATGGCTCAAAATTATTTTGTATAGTTATTCATTTGGAATTAGGATTCAGCACCTTTTAAAACATATACATTTATATGAAAAATACAAATAATCCAAAAATTTAAGAAGTATCCCAAAAAGCCCCCCTTTAGGCCTAAAGCATAAAGTTAGTTTATTTGAAAAACGAATGCGAAATTTGGGTTCAGCACTCTTTAAAACTTATAAATTGATATAAAAAATACAAATAATGTAAAACTTCAAAAATACCCCCACACACCCCCCTAACTTAACAGGTTATTTGAAAAATGAATATGAAATTTGGATTCAGCGTCCTCAAAACTAATAGATTTGATGTATCATACTACCTTATAAGTTAAAATTTAAGGGTAATTAATTTAGGTAAACTAAATACGATTCAGACCACTGAGCGGCGTAGGGCATTTGTTCCACTACTCTCCCCATAACCACAAAACAACGAAGTTAAAAGTGCAACGTCTCGCCAATGGATGTACGGAAATTAAACATTTCAATACCAAAACTTATCTAAACGAATACTTTATCTATTTATGAAATTTTAATATAGGTAGGTTGCTATTTGTAAATCAAAAATGGGTAGTGGTTTCACCTTCAAAAATAAAAGTAATGTCACATTTTAGAGCTGTTTGTTTCTTACAATTTCTAAAAAACCAACACTGAAAAAAATGTATACTATTCCGAAATAATGAATATTTTATTACGTCATATAAATTTGTATTATATAATTTTTCATCGTCTTTATTTACTTACATTATAATTTACAATTACCAATATAATTTCGTCTTAAACTAATTACTATAATATATTAGAGGAGTCCTTAAATAGGATATAGAGTTGGATAGTCGTCATTTGGTTCAAAATGTTAAACAAAAGTTTCCCTAATTTATTTGGATTTTAATTTTATTCCCTTCGTCTCCTTGTTTCTACGTTGAATTTCCATTCGTAATAAGAAAATATACTTATTTAATATCGTATCAGAAATATAACGAACCTCACCTAGTATTTCAATTGGCTAGAAAAAATACAAGTCCCGGTAAATTGTTGAATGAATTTTAAAATAACATAAAAACCGATTTTTATAAAACATAATAATAAAATTAATTTTGTTTTTTGTAGGAGAAATACCGCAAATAAATATCTACTAGCGCAATACACCATATACAATTTTTCCCCAACATTCAAATGTCTTCTTTTAAAGTTATATATATTCTATTTTCATAAGATTCTAAACCGCTAGTACACTGCACTCGGAACATGTGTCGAATTATGATTTTTTTAATTTAATGATTAATTGAATGTGAGAACAGGGAGACGAGAATGAAATAAAAAACCAAACAAATCAGTCAAATTTAAAATAAAAACCTTATAATGATCACCCCAATATAAATATCCTATATTACTTATCAAAATTGTTTAATTAGCGTGATCTTTATATAAATATCTAATTGTATTGTTTCTATAGTATGACTAATACAATACAATTTAATTGTAACTACTAAAATATGATGTGATACATATCATTTTAACTTCTAATAATAATTGTTTATTTTAATTCAATGAATATAATTATTTTATTTTGTACTTAAATACTTATGCCGACTAAACGATCATATTATGTAAGGAAAATGATATAAGAACAAGAAAGTCGTCGTGGCGTTTAATCACAGTCGGTCGACAAATTAATCAATATAAAAATAATGTTACTTTCAATTGATGCGTATTGAACTCTTGACGTTAATTACTTTCAATAAATCTTAAGTAAAAATAAATTTATTAAATGGAAAACGTTTAAATACGAATAAAAATAATATAGTAGTAATAAAAATGGTAAAGGACTTTAATAAAAAAATCAATCAAATAACATTAATAATTACAAATTTAAAATTACAATGTTGATATGGTGTTATTAATATTAATTGTAGGTACCTGCTTAAGTACTCCTTAATGTGTTTAATTCGTAATTTGTTTAGATTTGTAAATAACATATATTATTAATTATAAACATTTGTTTACAGACACAAAAAAAAATAACTATCATAATAATAATAAGCACACATAGTAAAACCAATACATTCCTTACTACGCTCAGAATATAAAATTAAATATATACATTAGACATATTAAGAATAATTCTTGTCACCATGTTGTTATCTGCTGGTTTTTTGTATTATTAAGATAACCATATTTGCTTTGATTTTGTTTTTTTGTTTTCATATTTGTAATTTATGTTAGGAGAACCCCCCCCCTTTTGCCCTTTTGCCATTAACTTGCTTAAGAGATGGGTAATCAACTCATGTATTGTATCGTATTCGTCTCTATATCTTGTTACCTTTGTTAAGTTGAAATAAAATAAATAAACAAATAAATTCAATAATATAAATTTAGTATAATAATTTATTATTGACGTAATATATTATGTACTTCGTTATTATATTATGTAAACCTGAATAAATAAAAAAAACTACATATTTATTGAGTTTTAGATTTTGAGTGTAATGAAGATGCTATTAGTTTTACTGAGATATGTGTTTTTCTTTTACGTAAAACATTTAACATCAGTAAAAATGTCATACTATACCCTAAAAGATCCAGAATTTTTTAGATCAAAGCAGGTACTCTATTAGAGTGAGCAATATTAACTTATTTATATTGAATTATTGTACTGATATAATAATAATCGTGTGTATGTAACCGAGTAAATCCTCGATAACGTAGTAAACATATAAAACGTTTTAACACCCAGGAATTTATTTGACTAGGTTCGTACTAACTACGTAGTTATGCACAAGCCATAATAACATTCTGGATGAGCAGCAAAGAAAACAGAAGAAGGACGCACGTGCCCTTTCTTCACGCTGAAACTTCGGTTCGATTCTTATATAGGTATACAAATCTATGTAAATATTATTATTATTGTAATACTTTTGTACACATAGATGTTAGTAAAGTTGCAATCTTGCAGTAGTCGCCCAAATCGGGACCACGTGTGCCTTATGTATTTAAGATATTTTACTGGGGGGCGTTCGAAAATTCAACTCTTATAGCTTTGGTTTTAAAATAAACATATAAAATCATAATCATATTAAAATTATAAATAATAAAATAATAAACTAAAAACAAAATTATTAAAATGGTAATACTCGTAAATAAATGTATAAATAAAAAATGTATGTATAAAAATAAAAATAAAATAAATTAATAAATACGTCGCCTAGAGTATTATAATAATTGTATACATTTTAGATAATAAATAATAACCAAATTACTTATATGTCTTAACATATCTATGTATAATAACAATCCATTTTAAATTATCTCTCCTATTAAAATAAATTATTTCTATGTAAAACAATCAATTTGTATAATTTTTTTATTCAATGTATTCCTTCATTTTTATAGTCAGTCGCATTTTAAATTTTGACTGCGATATACCTGATGATGAATTTTTAATTCGAAACCGGTCGTATAATATTTATAACACTTATCATAATACTCCAGGCGACGCATTGATTCATTTATTTATTTTATTTTTATGTATACATTTTTTTATTTATATATTTATTTACTATAATTCAATAATAATAACGAACTATATAAGTTCGTTACAGAAAAAAAATGTATAGCTCTTAAAATTTAAAACGACTACAACCACCGTTCGATAATGTAGAGTTAACTCTTATAAGTCCAGAACATAGTTATATTATTCTAAGTCTACTGCAAAACTGCAATAATCATGTTTACCATAAAATTATGCATATTTTTATTTTCTGGTAAACATTTAAAAAAGGTCATTAAATTGATTGTGAAAAATTCTTCACCATTCTACTCTGATTCTAGTCTACATTCAATATTACTCTACTTTTAATTATTGTTTGCATATTTTATTACAGAAATACAAACATTTAACTATAATCTTATTTGATATCGTATTATAATCAGGGCCATATTAACCATTGGGTACTATAGGCACTGTGCATAGGGTCTACGAGAAACAAACGGTTTACGAAAGGAGGATTAAAGCCCCCCCCCCAAAAAGACTATATAAAATGTATTATTGAATTTTAGTATAATTGCAACGTTTGTGCGACGCACTCAGTTATGTGATAAGAAATGTATTATTATTGTTATTTTTAGATTAGTGTCTTGTTATAATAAATTATATATTATGCATTCTTAATTATTAATATTTACAAATTAATAATAATTGGTATACGGTACATTATATGCACAGTAACTCGATAAAAATTGTATTCAAAAGTATACAATATACATGTAAACTTAATACAATATGAAAGGCGATTTTTTCAATCAGTGTCTATAAAGCCTATGGATGGCCTAATCCGGCTCTGATTATAATGCGTACGAAAAATTGAAAAAACAGTATAATAAAGGGGAAACAAATTTTAAAGAAATCACGATGTGACAAACAAATTTTTCTTTTGTGGTATATAGAAAAAAAAATGTCCATTCGATACAAAAAGGTCACCGGTGAAATGTTTGTTTTACTATTTCTGATTTACGGGCTACAGCTATCTGTAAAATATCGACGGAAAAATTCCACAAGGTTTAGTCTGTACAATAATATGTAACAATAAATAATTTCTTTGAACGAATTTTTATTCCATATTTTTTTTTTGTATATATGTTTACAGTGAATGTCCGCAGTGAATGCTGACAGTCACCGGTTAATGTCGCCGTACACCAAAGACATTGGTGAATGTTGACATATTGCTTAAATTTATACCGGTTGTAAACATTCACTATTAAACTTCAAGATTTATAAACAAATATAAGGATATTGATGAATGTTGGTTATGCCGATATTGTTTTCTTTAAATGTAATCTAAGGATAACGGAAAAATAAAAATAATAATACAGTATTATTAATAGAATACTATAATAGTAGACGTCATACTCCAAGTACTTATACAATATTCGGTATTGTATGAGTTGATAATAAATTTTGATAAAATGTATTATTACCTTGCCCAACTACTTGCATTGTACTTTTACTATACTATTGATTTGCACAATAACCAAACAATTTTTTTTAAATGGAAAATATAGGTACGTGAAGTATTTTATAACACATTTAATAATTTACTATCTAATAAAAGATATGATAAAATTTATTTTCTATTTACTAAAAAATATAAACTTTTAATTAGTAAAGTGAACATTATTTCTTTGTTACACAAAACAAAATTCTGAAATTTTAAATTAATCGAATTCTTCAATTGGTGGGCAAAGGTTACTCGAAGCAACTGCAAAACAAAATGCACCATAAACAATTGTGGTTGTAGAAACGTTACCATTTTATGTAGTATAAAATGTCATGACAGTTTGTCATGTTGCAATAAGTAGAACTATTTACCCCGTTTTTTTTTTTTTTAAAAAAATAACAATTTTTGTTTAGTAAAATAGTCATAATTTAAATAGGTAATGGTAATGGTACAAGTATAATATTATTTAATAATAATGATTCATTGATACATTTGGACATGTTGTACCTATTTTATATACAGTGAAACATTTTTTAACGAAAAACTCTATGTAACGTACATATTACTTAATAATGATTGGTTTGCTTTATAACCTATGTATGAGTTTTTTAACCTTCTCTATTGCGAAAACTCTCTATAACAAAAGAAATCTCTCGGTCCCTTAAGATTCGTTATAAAAAGTTTTCACTGTATGTCAACATTGACCAAAATCCTGATATGAATGTCAATATTCACTAGTAAATGTCTAATTTGTTTTAATTATTCAACATCCACTAATTTTCGAGGTATATGTCGACATTCATTATGTGATTGTCAGCATTCATCAATTGAGGACATTCACAGAAACATAACATACATACCTATACATAATATATATATATATATTATACTTACCAATTTTTTTTTTCAAATTATTATTTTTTAACAACTTTAATACAACGACAACAATATTACTACATAATTCGTAGTACTCCGGGCGAGGGGACTCGGTTTAGAAGAAGGAGAAAATAAAAAACTACGACTCGAATTTAATATTGAAATATTACTGCGTACTTACAACCAAGGGTGATGATAATGATGTCTTCGAGGAATATAATATAAGTATATAGTATTATTGTACTAGTACCTATGTAGTTATTAAAAAATAGTGTAGGTGTTTTATTTATTTTTTTTTTCGAATCATACCGGTTTTCTTCCCACCACCGCCACCGACGCAGGTGCACGAGCAACAGCGAGCAGCGATAGTTGTGCCCTACCATTACTACTACTAAAAAACGAAAAAAAAAAAATAATAAAAATAATAATAATACGTTTTACACGTATTATAGGTACGGCGGCGTAGAGTTTTTGTTGAATGAACGCACACACGCAATATCATTATCGATGATGTTCGAAATCGGATCCCGAGTCCCGAACCGGCGCGCGTGACGGTTCAGTGTCGTCGTGTCTCCGCCGTCGCGTTGTAGTCGCCCGCCGTCCTGTAGCTGTCCCGCGTCATCGTCCCGAGCGCACGTTTCTTCCAAGACGTGTACGGTCGTACCGGTATACGTTCGTGGTAATAGTAATACCTACGTACTAATATCGACATAAGGTACCTACAATATAATAAAATATACAATTCGAAGTTAATTTTTATTTCATTAGTAAAAAAAAAAATATCGAAAAACGTGTTTTACAAGTGAAAATACTTGAAAATATAACAATAAATAGCACGAGAGTCGAGAATACGATTAAAGTATATTGTTATTATTATAATTATTATAACACTCCGGGCTGAGTAATGTTTTCATATTTATTTTCTTTATATTATATACGAGCGTCTAAAGGCTGAAATCTCGAAAATTAGATAAAATTAAACATTTCCGTTCAACCGATTTTGTGCTACATGAAATATTATAATTTAAACATATTTGTATCTATAATTAATAAGTACATCGTTAAAAAAACTAATGTACAAACACAAACAAAGCTTTTACCTATAAGTTTGACAATCTGTCAATTCATTCTAGTACTAAAAGTAACAGCACAAATTGCTGAACGGAAATTTGACATCATCCAATTTTAAACATAAGTCGTAACTCGTAACACACACACACACATATTTATACGTTATTGTTTTATTTATTAATTTTGCGAATTAAGATACCTATATTTTTTTTCATCCGCCCGGTTTTCGGTTTATTGTAAAGTGATTGGACTAATTAGACGGAGCTCGGGATTTTATGCAAACGAATATTTGTTTGGTAAATATACAATATATTATTGATATCGAAAAATATTTTAATATGTTAAAAATCGTTTCGTGTTTGTTATCCTGATTCTAAATTTTTAGCGCATATTATTGCATACATATTTTGGCCTTTTTCTTCATAATACATAAATGCATGTTATTTTTGACGTTTTTCGACACGTACCAGATAAATCTAGGTTCCAATTTAATTTACACGAAAATCGAATTTGTCAATTCAATTTTATTAAAATAATATATATATATATATGTACACAGGGTGATTTTTTCATTATCTTTTCAAAATATATGGAGTAGGGGTAAAAAATTAAAATTAAGCTTAAACGATTCCATAATGATTAGAAAAAACAGAAATCAAATTCACTTAGAATCCTCTGAGATAATTTCTTGTTCATGATAAAAAAAAATTACCCTGTATACAATATAATAAATGTTTTAGATTCGGATCATAGCCAGGGATCTTAATTTCGAATTGGTTTTACTACGTGTGTTTTTTTTTTTTCTGTGAGCAACTTTTCTACTAGAAATGTTGCTACAATGTATCTAGTGTAGCAACTTTTCTAAAAAGAAATTTTATTTAGTTGCAAAATTGGGTAGATAACTTTTTTATTTCCCAAAAGGTTTTAATAATAATCATCATAATCGGGAAAAACCGGAAACAAAATTATAGGGTAAACTGCAAATATTTACGCTACGCTACGGTGTTACCGGTTTTATTGTTTTTAATTTTTTCAAGTTTTCTACTAAAAATATTGCCTTTATCAAAAAATTTCTATTGACTATTTTTGTTGCTCACAAAATAAGTCGACTTTTGATTCTCGAAACAGTTCGTAATAATTGGGAAAACCCAAAAAAAGACGAAAAATGAAAACAAACAAATTTAAGGCGTACGATTTCATTATTTTAAATTATTACTTTTTATGTTTTCTATGAGAAATATTGCTCCAATGGAAAAACGACTAGAGATTTTTTTGTTGAATTTTTAATCTAGTTGAAGAATAAGTAATTCGTTTTCAGATTTCCAAAGTAGTTTTAATTTAGTAAATCTGAAAAAAAAAATCATAACGAATGAAAAAATGTACAAAAATAGTGCTTTTATTATTTTCAATTTTGTTTTTTTGTTATAGTTCAGTTAAAAATATTCGTAAAGACTTGAAATTTCGAAAGAAAATTTATATTTGCGTTTTAACAGGTTTGGTCAATTTTGAAAAAAACATTTAAACCATTTTTGAACTATTTTTAGACATTTTAATTTTGCGAGTTTCTTTCTTTATTTTTATTTGTTAAGTACTTTGTGGACAAAATTGTTTGATCAAACTTGACTAAACAAAAATACTTAAATTTTAACTGGTTCATTATAAGTAAAGTTGTAATTAGTGGTCAAAAAAATAAAAAAATCAATTGTAATGTAGAATTTTTTTTTGTAAGTTAATATCAAATTTTGACTAAAATCAAAATAAGCAGAATTTTGCTTAGAATCGTTTTACGTTAGCAATAGTTTATCGTTGCATACAGATATGAATTAAGTAAATGTATGTAGTCTACATTCCCAACTCCCCACCAACAATAGCAACACACTTATCCCCAATATCGAAAAAAAAAAGCTAAGGTAAAATTAGTTGCATGTTACTATTATGGCGGATTTACATGTCCAATTTTACTTGTATAAATATATTTGTATCTGTTTCTTAGATATTCGTTCAGGAAATACTCATATAATACTCACGAAAGTTTAATTTCGTTTAATGTATTATTAATCATAAAAAATGGCAACATCAAAATTTATTCAAACTATAATGCTCCATTTATTATTGGATTTTGTATTTTAATAGTTTGCCGTTTTAAAATCAAAATTAGTAGTAATATTTCATCCAAGAAAAAAACGGTGACAAAAAGTAATGGAAATTTTAGAGCAGCTTGATTCTTAAATTTTCAAAGAAAAAAAAAAATGTTTTCGTATAAAGTCAATACCTACTTAACGAGATAATAAGTAGGCTTAGGGACTTCTAGATCTGAAAAACATGTAAATATGCATTAAATTATGCTCTAAAAAATGTTTGTTTTATTAAAATTGTATAATATAAAAATTCAAAACTTAACTATTATTTATTTTTTTTTCATTATTAATGGTATTTATTTAAAAACTTTTATAAACATTTTTTCGGGATGAATAATTTAAGTTATTGATCAAACTTAATGATTTTTCGTAAACTAAAGGAACAGACTATTTTACGATAGTTTACTCGACTATACTACATCAGTGCGTATGAATTTGAACAATGTAAATCGAAAAAAGCGTAGCATACAATAAAATTAGATATGTGTGTATGTTCTTTTATAGTACTTAAAAGCTACATACTGCTAAAATATGCTCTAAACAGCAAAAAATGTAAATATATGCAAAATAAAATTTAGGACTTGGATACTTTACACTATGAACAGTATTTATGTTCAACTCTGCTATTTTTTTAATCTTTCAAAAATAATATACAAACGATAGAAATTCCTATAACCATAATAATGATTGTTTTACGTTAAATGAATTACCGTGAATAGTTATAGAATTTGAATTTTACGTTTATTTTCTTCCTCGATACTCGTTTGGTAATAAATTATTATTATCATACCATTTACCACCGTTTTTTTTTTTTTTTTTGACGTGTCATACGAACAAATTATTATTACTAGGCACTACTGATTCGTTTCTGCTAACTCTTCTTTCCCTTCCATGATCAATCACAGTTCTGTAATCAACGTGTGCATAACATAAGTATGTGAAAGTACACGTTTTAATTTTCAGGTACTATTTGTAAACTGAATATTTTTTATGTGAAAAATTGGAGAAGTTGAAAAATAAAAAATTGTTTTATTATTTTCTGTTTTAAATAAAAATAGGTATCTATAATATGTATTTATTTTTTAAATTTTTTTATAGATATCCAAGAATATTGTTGTACCTATTTTAACATGTTTATAATATTATTGTACAATATTTGATTTTAAGTGTAGTAAAGATGTGTTTTTCTTTTTTTCTACACTTGTTTGGTTAATACAAATTGTCCAAATTATTTACATAGTACTTCCATTCACATCCATCTTGGATACCTTAGCTACAATTAGAAAATATACGCTCAAAATCTAAAATCACAATCATAATCATAATCAAAATAATTTGTGTAACGTTGCACAACGCATTCACAGAAACCTGGCATGAAATGCATTGACGAATATATCGATAAGGGTGTAACGTAAAAGCTAAAATTCTGATAAATGTTAATCCGCAATTATTGTATTGTGTCGTAATCCAGCATTACAGGTCGGCAACATTGTACGATATTGATGTGTTTTTATTAAAACTATTTTGGGTAAAAATGGATTATGATTTCGCGCGCAAATGTTCTATAAAAAAGGTGTGATGGGTGCAAGTGAACTGCTCCGGAATAAATTACCCTACTCATGGTGCGAAGTATATCAGGTTTTTGTGTAGGTACACATAACGTAAATGTAATATAGCTATATAGGTACACTGTATCTATATTACATTTATGTTTTAATTTACCGAAGCAGGTTATGCACCTCGTAATAATGTTACACGTTTTTAGTTTATGTATTTTTTTATCCGAAAATTTCGATGTTTATCTTTTTTTTTTAAATATTTTAAATTTTTGATGACGAATTTTTCTCCCACATATTATGTACCTATATTTTGTGATTCTAGATACTACAGTTTAATATAATAAATGTTCATGTTTTAGATACGTAGTTTTATATTTGCGATTTTTTTTTATTTAGTGTCAGTTACCAAAAAATGATGCGATTAAAATTAAAATTTAAAAAAATAATAAATAATAGGAATTTTGTACCTTATTTCTATTATAAAAAAAAGGAACTAATACCGGGGATGGGTGTGGCCACCGTTATACGTGAGTAGTTGGAAAGGTGGGATATATAAAGTTATTTAATTTATAATTGTAAGCAACGATAAACCATTGCTAATGAATAACGTTTCTGAGCGAAGAAAATATCTAAAATAAAAGTATAATAAAAAAATAAAATAATATGCGTTTTCACGACAACGAAGATTGTTTAAAAAAGATTAAAAGATGAAAATAATAAAAACTTAACAATAACAAAAAATAAATAAAAACGGTTGCAGTGATCAAATCGTATTTGTATTCTTTTAATTATTTTTAACCTAAAGAATCAATTTTTTGTCATTATCTCGAATATAAATGAGAATTCCAAAGTAGAAGTACCAGCTATTAGAGCAAAAAAAAGAGGGTGGTTATGACATGATTGAGTAAAAAACATCTTTTGTAAGACCCGATTTTCGAAAATTTGTCGTCATATCAAAGGATATAGAAATACAAAAGAAAACCTACACGATCATAAAAACTCTACGACGTTGCTATTTTCAATTTTGAACTATATTTTACAAATTAATTATTAATTAATTAATACTACAAAATATGCTCTTTTGATGATTAAATTTGACGTTGAATATGATTTTAAAAGTTCGGTGTGAATAATTTTAATTGACTGTATGGAAATTAATTCTTCTGATTATCTTTTGCAATTTGCTCTCAAAATTTGTAATCATATTTTCTCATTTGAATTTTGAATGTGATTCTGTTGTCTACAACATTATTTTTATCTAAATCTGAGAATATTTTTGCTGAACATTTATTATTGGTACACCTTCATCCCAAAAGATTATCTTTTTTCGTTTTTAATTAATCAATTAATTCAAAATAATAACCAATTAATTTATATTTGTATCAATCCACGAGGGTCATAATAATCAATAATAGATAATAATCATCAATAATAGAAAACTGAAATTGTTTTAACGCACTATATGACAGGACTATAAGTGATCGAACACTCATTACATAATCATTTCTATAATCATTTTGGAATAGTTACTTATCTACTACAATCGTCTATAACGGTCAGTAAAGGTTTATGTTCAATCGTGTTTTTTCCCAAAAAATGTCTCTTGTCATGTTTTGATTGGAACAAGATTTCTAGGAGAAAAGTTTTTTACAGGCAGAAAAAAAAATATAAACCATAGTAAACCAATAGATCCCTCATTTTATTCAGAATTTAAAAATAAAAAAATAATGATTCTACATTATTATATTGTAACATAATGCTTGAGCTATTGGTACATATATGAATATACTATGCAGTACCATTGTTTTACTGTTCTTATCTACACTGTAATAATCTTATATATTAATATTATTATTATTATATAATAAAGATAAGACGTAAAAATTTCAGGACAATATTATTATTTTTAACTAACGCGATTATTAGTTCACAACGCACGAACAATTAAGTTTTACAGTTTTCGTTAAAAATAAAATGTGTAGACAATTAGTATTTAGTTGCCAATTAATTTGCATATACATTTTTACACGAGTACCTACATAATAATATTTCGTTATCAATAGTGTCGACGGTTATTTAAAAAAAAAATTGGAATTTACTAATTTGTCAGTAGTGCTGCTCTAAGTTACATTTTCTATATTGTACCTATTTAACTATAATTATATTAATCGATTAAAACTCAACAGTATTTTAATGTTCCAAAATAGTATGTATAAGTTTATGACTCTCATGCGCGTATGGCAAAAATAAAAAAATTTCGAGTTCTATAAATTTGATTCGTTGATTGTAATTTGAACGTCCTATCTGCAGGTGATCTATTTAATTAGGTATGCTCATTATATCGTAAAGTATTAACTTTTTCTGGAATTTGTTTTCTAGAACAATTAAGAAACAATCTATTCTACAATTTTATATTATTATAATATAATATTATGTTATTTTTCGTCACCCTTATTTTTGGGAGTTAAACTACTACTACCTACTTTTGATTTTCAACTGGCAACCTATATTAAAAATCCCATAAGTAGATAGAGTATTAGTTAAAAAGTGTTGAAATTTTTGATTTTCGTCAATCCGTTAATGAGATATTCCACTTTTAAATATGGGTTGGAGGAGAGTAGTGGAATATCATTTGTGTGGCGGTACGGCGCACGGCGTGTTAATAATACACCATTACTCTCCTCCATACTAAACATAAAAGTTGAATATCTCGTCAATGATTCGACAAAAATTAAAAATTTCAACACTAAAATTTATTTTACTTTATCTATGTATGGACTTGGAGTATTAATTAAAATGTCTATGTATGGCCTTTTTGATATTGGTTGCTATTTTAAAATCAAAAGTAGGTAGTGGTTTTACCACCAAAAATAAGGGTGACAATAAAAAAAAACATGAATATAAAATTGTAGAGTAGCTTGTTTCTTAATTTTTTTTGGAAACAAATTCCGGAAATAGTTAATACTTACCGAGATGAGTGTACCCACTTAAATGAACCGCCAGCCCGCTGTATATGTGTTGTTGCTCGATTGCCGTCATTCATGTACTATCAAAAAAATAATCAGATTTAATTTTGGCACAAATTGACTACGTCTAAATTAGGTAGATAACCAGCTGCATGCTAATTGCGTCCCTAAAAACGAAAATATACGTCCTGACAACCGAGTTGCGTCCGCAAGAATAATTGTTATTCTATTTCTATATGTTTGATGATAAACTCGTTAATATTTATCCGTCGGTTATAGATTATCGATACGACGATACCTTATCATAGGTTGGTATATATCACCTTACAATTTATTGTTGAAAGTTAATTTTGTTAATGTTGTTCATGTTAAAAAACGTTCAAACTGATATTTATATTAAAATGCAAAACTCAAATTTAACAAACATACGAAGAAAGGATGTAGAAAACTTTAGAAGATTTTATTAAAAATACTTAGTTTGAAAAAAAATTATATCACTTCTTTAGTTCGTTAAAAAATCGACGTAAAAAAATTTACCCATTTTATAAAAATAAAAATAATAATAATTACATGGTATCTGCGTATAACAATATCCACAAAGGTTGGACTTACTTAATATTATTTTTAATTAATTTTTAATAAAATATACATTTTAGATAAGTAGATAATTTATTATAATACCAAATATATAATATATTTTTAATAACATCATTTATATAAATGACAGTCCCCATTAGTTTGTAAAAGTGAGAAGGAAAATATGTATGTATCAATTATTAACGCGGACGCAACTCGGATGTGTCGTGAAAAAATCGCGGGCGCTATTCGGACAAAATATCATTTATGGACGCAATTCGAATGCACCGATACAGCGTACGCAGTTTTTAATGAAAAGGTGTTTAATATTATAAACCCCAAATTATAATTATTCTGCTATAAGAAATTATAGCAACACCAGAAATTTTAAACAATAATTATTGTTTAAAATCTCCGAGCAACACAGACACGAGCGATGCACAATGGGACGTTTCCACATTAATTTCTAAACCATTTTCTGCTTATACAACGCCAACAAATTTATTATCTATTTACTCGTACATTTTGTCTTAAAGGGTAACGCCGTGGAGCGCCGTAAATATTTGCCATTGTAACTATAATTTTTTTTTCTGATTTTTCCCGATTATTATGAAAATCCACCAGAAAATCAAAAAGTTATCTCCTCAATAATTTAACTAAATAAAAAATCCTTTCAAAATCTCTTTTCGTTATCAAGGGTTAATCGTTACCCACATTAAATAACTTTATGTTTCTTACTTTCCCAACTTCCCACCTACTATAGTGGTAACATCCATCATCTTTTTTCTTTGGTTTATGTGGATATAATTGATCATGGTTAATTTAATGGTAAAACAATAAAAGATTAAACGTTTTATCACTTAACTATATGTTTTTATTTAGTGGACCTTACAAGTTATGATCTCATGTTGATACTCATTGAGCCGGAGAACGGCTTTGTTGTTTTTCGTCTTTTATATTCTAACAAACAGTTAGGAAGTTTTTTTTTTTAATTTTCTCAAAATGGAATTAGGGTCCATTTTGCATGAACCAAATCAAATGTTTTAATTTATATTTAATGTAAAATATAACATATAAATTCATAAAATAATAAGCGATCTGTGTATTATCTACTCATATTATATACAGATCACGGGGAGTTTAAATGTTCCCATCGTCTCCCCCCCCCTCCCATGGTACACTACTGCTTCTATCATCCATGATGCATAGCTTTATCATTTATTGTAGCACAATAATTCGCTTTTGGTCTCAAATACATTCGGGAGAAAGGCGGGAAGGCGAACGAAATAAAGGCGATCGCCCACTCGCCCGTAAGACGTGTCATAAAAAATCTTATTGGATTATATTCATAATATTATATTGTAATATATTTTATGTTGTTCGCTACGTATAAGAAGGCGATTTAGTCGGTGGGAATCCCCAAAGGTTTGGGGATGTCACGTTAAGCCGCGTTGAACTTTGTTGTTAATATAGGCGGATGGGTGGCTATCATCGGGTATTATAATAGAAACGAGCTATTGTCTCAATTTATGCGTACCCAACCGGTAAAAACAATCGTTGGACACTTCAAGGTCGAACGTTTATGAAAAAAATGGTCTCACGTTATAACCTATATTATATTTCTATACACATAAAAAAAGAAACTGGCCGACTGACGTATAACGCACAAACCAAACCGCTGTGTCTACAGAAATTTACATTTCCATAGAAGTTCTTTATAAAATGTACCCAACCGCTAAGAAAGAAATTTTCAAAATTCAACCCCTAAGGTGTTTGAGTAGTTAAAAATGTAATGAGTTACATAATCCAAAAAGATTGCGTATACTGTATACCGAATTTATCAAATAAATAGTTAAGCACAATTTTTGCTGACTTCGGAAATTAATCCTTTAGCGGAGTGAAAAAAAGGGATGTCAAAAAGATAGCTAGTATATTATATTTTTCTTTGTTTTTTTCACTCCAGATATCAATGGTATAATTTTCGGGCTAGGTTTTTTGGGTTCAATTTTTGATAATTTAATGGAAGGGTGCTGTGAACTTATTAGTTAAGACATATTTTCAGGTGGGAGAGGGTTTATGAAAAAAAAATGTTCATGACAAGTATAATTATATTACATTGAAACAAGATAATTAATCGATAATTGGCCTACTTCGAGGTCTCTTTCATTCCGGTTTCTATCCCAAAACTGCTATGATGAAATGAGATTAATGACAATTTGTTATATGTCCCAGTCACTGAATTCTTTGGTGTTTTTTTGTAACTAGTTGCTGCAGGTGCTAAACCCATTACTTCCTGCGGTTGTTTTTAGAAACCGCGATAAGTGCAACAAAAGCACTTGTTGAAATAGGATTACGTGATTGGAGCGGTAGCCTTTTTAGTATTTTGTGATAATGTTTGAATTCGGTAATTTTCTATTACTATAGGTCCGAATACACAACAATTATTGAGGCGGCTACAGTGTGTGCGTATTCGTTGTTCGTAATTCGTACAAATTCGTGAATATAGTGTGTAGGGGTGAGAGTGCATCATTTACCATTTGTCAATCGTGACCCAGAAGTGGCAAAACTATGCACGACTGATTAGTGGTCCATCACTCTGGAGGGTGGTAAAATCAAAATATCAAATAGAGCACGAATCGAAGCGAATAAATAAATTCGTGTGAATTTGTGTTTGTTTGTCATTCGTCAGATGTTATACGGTGTTATCACGAATAGAAAAAAAACACGAATCGCGAATCGCGAATTACGAATATACACGAATAGTGCGTGAACATCAAAGACCGACAAATTTCTACGAATCGTGAACCTCGAACAACGAATACGCGAATAGTGTATAGCCGCCTTTATAATTTATATTCCATCGACGTAATAACACGAACTTTACTACGTACCTATTAATATTCCGTTTTCAACAAAACCATTTTTAATATTTCACCCGCACTCCATATTCCTTAAATCAGTATATACGTTTGTTATTAAATAGGAACCCCCTATATAAAGACAGATTCAAGTAGAGAATATTTTTCTAGAAATATTGTTATGCATACCAATACTTATAACATTAATTAATGAGTTATAATCGTTTAGAGTTTAAACCCAAGAAGTAGAGTAGGTTAATCTATTTATAATTTGAAAATATTTTTATAATTTTATTTTATCTATATTTATGTGTAATTATTTATTTTTTGTTATGTCCTGAACCCTACTCACACCACTGCCATATGCTTTAGTGGGTAGAACAACCTTGGTTATCGCATGCAATTTTAGTCGTATCAAACATTTTTGTTGTTGTTGGTAATAAATAAATTATAAACTATAAAAATATGTACATATATATGCAATTTATTACCCTTTCCTATTCCTCCGGTCTAAACTTTATACGGTTATTAACTCATAATAGCCAAATCTGATGTTGGTGTTATGAATATCAAAATGAATGGAATAATGTTTTTTACATTCGAATCTGTATTTAAAAATCTGGTTCCTATATGAAAAACAAAAAGTATATACTTATTTAAGGTATATGAAGTGAGACGATAAATTGTAAATGGTGTTTTAAAATAAAGCTTAAACGATTCCATAATTATTAAAAAAAAAAAAAATAATTTAAAATTCCCCGAGAAAATTGCTGATTCATGATAAAAAAAAACTCACTCTGTATACTATTAATAATAATCGACAATACAAATTTATATTTTTGTAGATCATTTTATAATAATTGTTGCAATAGTAAGACAAAATCGTAACTATTCATTCAACTGACTTACCATGATGTTTATAATGTAAAAATATTTTTTTATTGTTTGATTAACATTTTATATTAAACAAATAGCTGATATTGGGGACAGGTACGGCCACTGTTATAGGTAGGTAGTTGGGAAAATGGGATACATAAAGTTTATTAATTTATACCTATAACTACCAATGAACCATTGCTAACGAAATACGATCCGGAGCGAAGTTCGATTATACATGTCTTGAAAAGCCGTAATATTTAAAACATAAGCCAAACAAATTTTAAGTTATGAAATCATTGTATAATTGAAAAAAAATCTTCATTTTTGGACTTTCTCAATTATTATGAAAAATACTTGAGATGTCAAAAAACGACTTTCTGTATAATAGTGGCTATAGATTAAAAGGACAAAATCGATAATTTGTGATTTTTAAATTGGAACAATATTTCTGGCAGAGAATCTCGTGAATAAAAAATAAAAAACAATAAAAACGGTAACGCTGTAAGGCGCTATAAATTCTTTCCATTTTACCTAAAATGTTCATTCGAGTTTTACCCAATCACTTTGAAAACAGCTTGGAAAATCAAAAAATAACCTATCTAATATACCAACTAGTAAAAATTTCCTTTTAAAATAGGTAGTTTACTCTATAAATCGGAATAAGATTTCTTTTCGAAAAACTGTTTATAATGATGGGCGGAATCGACTAGTTTTGACTATCGATTGTCAATCGATAGTTAAAAAAATAACCTAGTGTTTTTGACTCGATAGCTTAAAAACAGTACTTTTTCAATTGAATAAATATATTCGATAGTTGATAGTTTTTAAAAACAACGGAGTAAATAGATTGAAACTATCGAGTATCGTTCGATAGTTTTCACTCGGTAGTACCCATCACTAATTGTTTACAGACCTAAATAAAAAATAATAAAAGTACAAAGGAAAAAAAAAACACACACATAATAAAACCATTAGACACGCTCCTAATCTAAAATACAATATACAAAATTGTATGTATTCAATAGGTATTTGTAAATTGTAATAAATCTTTTGGGTTTAATGATAAATTAGTGTATCTTGAAATTAATAATTAAAATGTCAATGACAGAACGAATTATTTAATGCCATCTAGCGGATAATTATTTTGGGAGTAGAACTAGTGACATTGAAAAATAATAATATAAAACATATTCTGTAATGATTTATCTACTAAAACGAAATTTAAATTGTTGTGGGTTGAACTAATATGTTCTACACGCCTCAAATAATCACTTCGTATACATTTAACTGCAATAAATTGACTTTTCTTTAGTCTATAGAAAACAAATAAAATTATATTGTTTATTCCAATATAAGTATTTATAATTGGTACAACACACTGTGGGGCCAATACCATCAAAAGGTTGCACAAATTAGTATTACGTTTTGTACTTGAAATTTTTATTTTCTGTCTGTAAACAACTTTTCGATCAAAAATCTTGATCTGATCATCAACTACAGTTGCAGTTTTTGGTTGAAAATATTGTCTCGAGAACGCTAGTTTTTTATTTTATTTCTAGTTTTCTTAACAATTGGGATAACTGGAGGAAAACGGACATATTTATACAATAACAGTTTCAATTTTATTTTCGTTGTAATTTAGTTAATAGTTATTTAGTTGGAAATGTTCATAGATAACCGACATTTTCACCAAACATTTATATCAGCTTTTTCTAGACGTGGTCAATTTTTCAAAACATTCTCGCGATATATGATAAACCTATTCAAATTTTTTTTGTTCGTATGAAATTGTTGCGACACTCCGATTTCGCAGTCAGAATCTAGGAAAATTGCGCAAATATGTGCACACATTTTTGCGTTGTAAGTAAAAAATTACTCTATAAAATATTAGTTTTGATGAAATTAAATTCCATTTTATTCTGTGGTATGAGATATTATGAATGGAAAACTTGATGACATAAAAAATTTAGTTAAGAAAGACAGTTCGGGGGATGGGAGGGGTTCTTACCTCTAACCCCCCCTCTGTGTGCGCCGCTGAGTTATAACAGCATGTGTTCGGGTGGCAGCGAATTTATTCTTTTATTCTAAAAATAACCTACTACAATTACACTCACGTTAGAAAAAAATGTTCCATTCATATTTGAAATTATGTGCCTATCTAATTATTTAATAATAAATAAAAACGAATTCTGTTTCTAGATAACTAGCGCAGTCGAACATTTTACCGTCGATCCAAAATTGTTAAGTAACCGTCATAATGGATATCCAAGATAATCAAATGCTAGGGATTGACAAAAAGCAAAAACTTTGCTTTCGGAGCGTCCAAGGTACGTGATAGTAACTGCAGGTCACTACCCGACCTAACCCCAAGTGTGAAATTAATAATACCTATTGTCGGGTTTAAATATTTTCATAAATGCGTGTCATAATTGTGATTCGTATGCATTTTATTTCAGATATGATACCCGCTCGTGCGGTATTGTATTTAATGTCGTTCAGTGGCTTTTTGGTCAGTTTTATGATGCGCACTGATATCAATATCGCCATGGTAGCAATGGCCAAACTGAGAACAAATGCCGGTAACTCATCAAATGTCACAGAACTCTCTTGTTACGCGGCAATGATAAATGACACTGACTTGGCCGAAGATCATAAAACAATGGTAAAATTGTCAGTTAATGTTAATATAATGTTCAACTTACGTTTACCTATAAATTATCGATTTAAGGTATATTAATCTGTTATTATTAACAGTTATCAGTTTATGATTAATTAATAAGTACCTACCTAATTGGTTGTCTTCAGTTTGTATTTACCGGTACTTTGGTATTTTTTAAATAATAAATATAAAATATAAATCCTTATTATTTATGTAACAATATAACTACCTACATGACAATAATATAATTATTTCAATTACCTGTAAGTACCTACCTATTAGTTAATTCTTTTTTAAAATTTAAATGTATCCATTTTCAGGAGGAGGGTGAATTTGATTGGGATGCTACTGTGCAATCAGCAATCCTTGGTTCGTTTTATTGGTGTTATATATTATCTCAAGTAGTTGGTGGTGTTTTAACCCAACGGTTTGGTACCAAAACGGTTTTTGGGTTCTCACAATTAGCCACAGCAATTTCTTCGCTGCTTATTCCTCGGGCAGCCTCATACCATTATGCAGCAGTTATTACATTACGGTCAATTCAAGGAATGGCATCAGTAAGTATACCTATCAAAAATACATACTAGTTTAATGCTTAAGTTATCTTACATCTAATATTTAGTTATATCTGTAAAATAGTAGTCTTCTTCTTTTTCTATTAATGTAAGATTAATGTTTATATTTTATGTTATTATTATTATTGTTATAACAATAAAATAAATATAACTATTGCCTAATAATTTGATATCGATTTGCTTGGGTGTTAGCAATTTTTCATACTATTCTTATGTAATGTCCTCTAAAATGTATTCAATGTTATTTAAATTGGAATTAATAATAAATTATAATGAATCTCAACATTTTCCAGGGACTCACTTGGCCTGCAATGTATGCACTTGTTGGTATATGGATACCATCCAACGAACGAAGCAGGTTCATGTCATCATTCCAAGGTATGAATTCGATTTAAATCACAGCCATGCTTTAAATAGGAAAAGAAAATATGCCAATGTGAAAAAAAATTAAAGGTCACTTTCAAATTTAATAAACGGGGGATTTAATTTCAGAACTTTGTAATTAAAAGAACAACATAATCACTAGGCTACTTTCAAACTGTAAGAATGTTTTAGACTTTCCTGGCAAAAACCCAATTTAATTATTAAATTTCAATATGTCTCTTGTCCAGTGTTTGACATTACATGGCCTTCGAATTGTAATTAGGTAATATTACGTTGAGCTGTTGTAAAAGTAATAGAATGCACTCGAATATATTATTATTATCATTTTACTCTTAACATATAAATAAAATCATTATAGGTAAAAATGTATATAAATATATGTATATATATATATATATACATATATATATATACGGGTATATAATACCTTGAAAATTGATATTTAAATATTTATGTATGTGTGTATGTGTAAATAAGTATAGAGTACGTTTGTCAGTATTGAAAGATTTTTTACAACTTAATGTGATATTAACCAAAATATCAGTTATGGTTTGTAAAAATATGATATACCTATATCTACACAACATTATTAGTTATCGTTTTATAAGTAAATAATTTTGAGGAGACATATGTTTAACATTTTTTTTATAGTGGCTACAATAATTCAAGTTACTACAAATGGAGTGGTGTAGGTAGAATTATTTTCTAAATTCTAACAATTTTATAATTGTATATTATTTATTGTTGTCAAACAAATTTATTTCAATTTATTTTTAGCATTTTTTTTAGAAAAAATATTAAAATATGTAGAGATTTAAATTTTATTGTGTATATTTGTTATATGCTTAACAAAAATTAAAATAAATAAATTACTATAAATAAAAAACAAATTTTCGATTATTTTACTTTTTTATTTTTATTTTTTTTGTATTTTGTTTTGTATACATTAATTTGAAAGTAAACTATATTTTAAATATTAACGTATAATTTAAAATAGTAATAAATTAGTAGTTCTATTCTCAATGTTAATATAATTTTTAAATTTTTTATATATATATATATATATATAAACATTAAAAATTCATATAGTCCAAAACTAAAATATAACTGCGCAAATAAATTTAGTTGAATTTTAAGTATAATGGTAAAAAGTTTTGTTTGGTGTTGATGTGCAGATGGGAGGTCGCAACGGGTAAACAAGTATATTTATCCATCTGTCTATTTGTGATATATGTGTAACTGGCATCTAGGTTAGGTGGTAATTGAGCTGTTGCCTGGGTGACAGGGTTTAGCTTCGGAATTGGACTGACGTATATGTTGTGCGGCTTCATTATTGGCAACTATGGATGGCGAGTGGTGTTTTACATGAATGGTTCATTGGGTGTTGCCTGGTGCTTACTATGGTGGTTACTAGCTTTTGATCTACCTCACAAGCATCCAAGAATCACTAAACGCGAACTGAATTACATCAACGCTAATATCGGAGCAAATATCATTAGCCCAAAAGTAAACTAATAAAAATAATTACTTACATCTGTTTATAAAGATTTATATTAATATATTTTTGTCATAACAGGATTTAAAAGTGCCATGGTTATCAATTATGACATCCATTCCGGCATGGTCTATTGGTATAACGACATTTGGTCGGATATGGGTCCATTATACATTTATAATATATGGTCCTTCTTACATGAAGACAGTATTGGGTTTTAGTATACAAAAGGTTTGTTTCCCCATTACATTTTTCTTGATAATAAATAAAAATAATTTTAACATTTTATTTCCAGAATGGATTAATGAACGGAGCTCCATTTTTGTGCAGTTACCTTTCTTCTGTAGTATTTTGTTATGCAGCTGACTACATTATAGCCCGTAATCTTATGAGCTTAACCAATGTCCGTAAAATATTTACAGCTATATGTAAGTAATTAGTATGGACTCTTGTAAATTACTATTATTTAACGGTGCAAAAGTAGACATATATTTATATACTATACCAGTGGTTCCCAACTTGTGGGCCGCAAATGCTGATCGAAGATATAAGCCAAGAGTTGAAAAATTTAAAAACATGTTTATTATTCTAATATGAATGTTTATATTTTGATCGAGGTTTAGTCATAATCCTACAATTATCGCCATCATACAATTTTTTTGATTGGCATTTTCTTATATACTATCTAGAATATTTTTGTAATTTTTATCGTATTTTATTATGCTTGGTGTGGACATGTTGTGATATACATTTATAAGTTAAAAAGAATAATAAACTTTATTTTTTTAATTTTCTTGTATGGTATATTTTCCTAATTAATGACGCATGTACAATATACATATTATATATAGGTACATAGGTACCTATGTATATATTAGCCATACGTATGTAATATGTGTCTATTTGTTTTTATTTTTACCTATATATTAGTTTAGTGGGTCTCATAGTTTTGTTTACAAAATTGGTGGTCCAAACAACTAAAAGGATTGGGAACTGCTGCACTATACGTTATGTGTTTTTTATTTTTATTTTTTAGCTCAAGTCATTCCAGGACTATTAGTACTCACCATCGGTTACATGGGTTGCCAGATCACATTAATTTTGGTAATTTGGTTTGTAGCAGTTACACTTATAACTGCTGCATATGCTGGAGCAATGGCAAATGTAGTTGATATTGCACCAAACTTTGCTGGACACGTACTAGCATTTGCACAAACTATACATATGTCAGCAAGTTTTTTGTCTCCACTTGCTGCTGCCATTATTCTACAAGAAAATGTAAATAAAGTTTAATATAATAATTTTTTTTCAATATATATGTATAGTTTTTAATATCGGTGACCATTATTAATTTAGCCAACTTTGGAGAGGTGGCGTAGAATATTTGCTGTGACTGCTTGTGTTGCATGTGGAACTTACGTAATGTATCAATTTGGTGGTACAGCAAAGGAGCAGGTTTGGAACAATCCAAATCACAAAAATAATTCGGGTTCTGTGCGTGTTTCACCAGAAAATAATCAGCTTATTGTCAACAATAAAACTGACCCAGAAAGAGGGGACGGATAAAAATTCTAAAATGCAAATATTCAAGCAAACAACAATGGCGTACTTAGGTCCCCCGCACAAAGGGGCAAAATCAAATTATTTTTTACGAACATTAATTGTGATATATAATATACAACAAACGAGAAAAATTAGTGCCGATTACAACATCGGATCCTTAATAAATCTCACCATTCCAAATAAGACAGTGTTCTAAACTTAATATTATATTTTATTATAATTTAAAACAAATTTTAATGTTTGTAATTTTAGAATTTTTAAGTGTGTGACCTTTGTGTCATCTAATACGAATTACTTAGAGTAGTTAAGTCAATCAATTACTATATACGTTAATATAGACATTTATTTATTAGCATTAAGATGTAGCAAGTTTATTGAATTTTTCTATAAACATTTTCTAAGAAAAAAAAAAAACAAGCGATTGGTTGTAATAAGTTGTTATACCTATTTACTAGTATAAATTATAATTTTCACATAAAATTTCAAAAGCCATTTTAAGATTTTTAACCTGATTATTTCTATACTTGTGCTCATATATTTAGTTAAACATATTATGAATTATTTGTTACTAGAAATAGAACATGTAGATCAATAATGTGCCTTACCAGATTTGTTGTAGAATGGTGTTTTTTGAGATCAGTGTATGGTATTTTTATTTTGTTAAGTTTATGTTATTTTATAGCATTTACATAAATATCTGGTGTCTCGCAACTTTAATTTTATTAATCTTTTAATGAAATGTCTTATTTTTACTAGTTTTTTTTAATTTTAAGTTTATACTGAAAAATAAACTAAAACAGATAGGTAATTAAAATGGTAATGATTTCTGAAAAACCCACAGCCAAACATTACTAAATTATTGAAGGTAAAAATACAGCGAGACACTTTATATATTATATTTAATTATATACATACATATTATGTAATATAATGTGTATATATATAAATATGAATTTGCATGAAAAAAAAATTAAAAAATTGTACAATTTATAGTAAAACACTATAAAACACATATATGTTATGAAAAGTTATAAACCATTTTTGCAATAGACTAATTTTTTAAATTAATCCTTATACAATTTTTATTAAAACAAATCTACCTCTATTTTCTCTATATATATATATGTATATATATATATATATATATATATATATATATATGTATTTATTTTTAGAATATATCTAGATATTGTATTTAATGATTTTGAACTGGACAAATGTAGACAGAAGCCTAAATTAGAGATGTATGCTTGTTTCAATTTTTTTTTATTTTTATAAAAATATAGAATGAGTTTTAATAAAATGTAATCATCATAATTAGGTGAATTATTTAAATTAAATAAGATTTATAACATATTATATAAGACAAAAATATTTTAAAAAAAGCAATAAAGAAAACAAATTTTTGATAAAAAACCAATTGTAAATATATTTTATTATTGGTGAAATTGAATAGAAATTATTTTGGATAGATATCTATTTGTTGTTTCAATATAATTCGTTACAGCACAAAATGATTAAAAAACTACAATTTTAATCAATTTTTATTACATAAAAAACAAGCGTATAATGATAGTATTAGATAGAGTATTTAAATCATTATTTTAGTATCTGGACTCAGTTATCACACAAATATTACCACTTAACCTAATATAATGCTCATTACTCCTCTACCTTTACATCTCAAATTAAAAGTGGTACTTATATATATATATATAGTATATTTAATAAAAAACTAGTAAACACTAAATTTTAGTTTCAAATAAAACTTCATCAATATTTATGGCATGTTTAATAAAGGTTGCTATTGAAACCAAATGTTGAGTGGTTTCTCCGCCAATCATAAGGGAAATATAAAATTAGAAAATTTGATTTCATGTATCTTAAGTACAAATTCAAAACTAAAAAACTTAATTTCTCTATAATAATCCATCAAAATTAAATGGTAAGTTTCTCGTTTCATAAATAGCCAAATAAGACAACAGCAACCATTCTTGGTTTTTTTTTTTTTGAAATTATTAAATTAAAGTAATTTAAATTTTATTTTAAAATTAAATATTTTTATATTCTCATATGTGATTTCAAAGATAGGTGTTTAAGTTTTTATCGGTTAAAAATATGTAACTATTTGATTCATTTTTACACCACTGACCTATAATTATAGGTATAATACATAGATTATAATCTATGTATTAGCCAGTTAGGTTTAGGGTAATAGTGTTAACACAGATCTTTAAAAAGCAACAGAAAAAAGGTTATCTAGATAAGTAATTATATTACTTACAATGTTATATTGTTGAATTTTAAATTTGATTTTGAAACTTTCGTTGAATAAAAAAAAGGTCATAATTTTAACCTTTTAAAACAAAATAAATTATAATTTGCGTTTACACTACCTATATATATTTTATTCTGAATATTATAAAAAAGCTATTTGTTTTACACCAATGAGTTTTTATTTTTAGAAATACATTTTTTTGAAAAAAACATTTGGTTAGGCTTCAAATTTTTTCCGCGGTAAGTAGGTAGCTCAAAAGATGCAGAATTTCTAGAACATCCATACAATGTTAGACTCTAAATCCTTTTAATGTGGATTTCATATTTTTATTTTATCTTCTGAAATAATAATAGATAATAATAAACCAAAATTACATTATATAATAATATATAAATATTTAAAATTCTATTAAAGTATAGTTTTTGTGTTTAATGTTGACAAATTAAAACAACTTTAGTTATTTGTACTATATGATTAACACAAGTATAATAGTAGAGAATTTTGATGGGCAGAACTAGGTGGAATAGTTGGGAGGAGAGAAGGATGAAACCAAGAATCTTGAATGCCTTGCAACAAATCTTTTCTATGTGTTTATTTGGGGAAAGGTTTCGGGTTAGAATAAATCCTAAATCTTGAATAGATTCGCCAGAAGACTTGACAGGGATGTTATTAATATTGTAAGAGAAGATTATAAGGTGATCAGAGGCGGGTAAAAGTTATTGAGGAACATTTGGGAATGTTAAATGAGAGGCCAAGATCCTCACTCCATACAACTAGTCTGTTGAGGTCATGTTGTAATCTATGGCAGTCATGGACAGAATCTATTTTAAGAAAAAGTTTCATATCAGCGAATGTGAGAAGTTTAGCATGGGAAAGTACTGAAGACGCTGAGTTTACAAATAAGATAAAAAAAAGTGGAGACAGGACAGGACAATTAAATAATATAATTTTTTATCTCAAGTTCCCATCCCCCTAAAAAAAAATATGTTCATTTATAAACTGTAACGCTGAGGCATGCTAATTATTTAAAAAAAAAAAAATTGAATAGAACAAGTTATTGCATTTATAGAATCCTCATGGGACACTCTGTATATCACCCAAATTATTCATTTTCATCTACTAAAATACAAATTAACACGTTTATCAAGCACTGTACACATACTAGACTAAGCATACCTATATGAATATAATCAAAACAAATTGTTAATGTAATAAAAAAAACGGGAAAATCTGTAGAAAACTTTATTAATGTAGATAGCATACGAGTATATGGCACGTGTACCAAAATATGATTATTATAATATAATTCTATTTATTTATTTGATTATATTTTATTTTGATGTTGATGGACAAAACCACTCTTTATTTTTAAATTTTGTTATGACTTATGTCCATATGTATTTTTGATGTTTACAACCGCAGTAAATTGTCCAAACACAAAAAGATTATTTAAATAAAAATAATAAGTTGGGATGAACAAAAAATATTTTACATTAATAAAACCACAAAATAAGTATTTTTATACTTATCGATTTATATATATTTTTTAAAATTTTCAATTTTAGAATGTAAAATTTAGTTTGAGTGCAGGCCGCAAAAAATGTATTGTTAGGACGCATGTGGCTCGCAGGCCATGTAGTGGGTAGGTACCAATGAGACACTAAATGGCAAAGAAATAGTTGAAAATACAAAATAATGGAAATTTGTATTAAACCTTGGAATAATTAGTTGGTACTTAATTTAAAAAATAAATTGTTATAAATATATTTAAAAGTAAAAGTTGTTGGTATCTAGTTAGTAGTTAGTTCAGGTTTTTAGTTAAAATGGTTTTAATTGATTGTCTAAAACAATAAAAGGGAATGAACACTTTACAAAATGTATGTTAGTTTTATACTACCAACTTGTTAACTATATTATATGTATTTACTACATTCTTAATTTAACATGTATTTGTAAATTATATTTCACATTTTTTCCTTATTAAATGATTAATTTAAATTTTATTAACTTTTACTTATTCTTACCAGTTTAAATGGTAATTAATTAATTTGATAAATATGAAACATTTGTGTGCACGGTTTTTAGAGTACCTACAGTATGTAAACTAATAATTCAAAATTTGACAAATAGGGTAAAGTCATTTTGAATGGCAACAATGTGCAATGGAGCATAATTTACTAGTAAAATTCAAAAACAGGAATTGAATACAATATATTTTTCAAATAATTTAGTACAGTATTTAATTATAATGAACAATAAAGTTTTATTGTTTGCTATATATCTAGATTCTTATTTAAAAACATGATGATCCAAGAACAGTCAACTATTGCTATTAATGACTTAATGTGTGTGTATATAAAAGGAAATTGAGTTTAATGGTTCTAACAAATTATAAAATATGATAGTTTAAATTTAATAAAAGCTTCAAATGGACTTGAGAAAATTGAAAAATAACATCTCTTAAGTACCCCCCTAAATTGAAATTTCCTTTTAGAAACATTGTTAAAATTATACAAGGATTGATAATTACAAGTTAGTTTGGTGACCAAATGCATATCATACAAAAGTTCTCTTAACAAATAGAAAACAAAAAATACTCATCAGTAAAACCAATACTTACTTGCACCATTGAGAATCTAAAATCAGTTACAACATTTAAATGCAACAGAAATAATAAAATCAAACAAGTAAATTAATTAAAAGTTATTACTATTTATTATACAGATTTTAAATTATTGTTATAAACTTATAAAATGTATTAAATACCTAGTATAACACAACCAAACAAGAAAATTATGTATCTTATAGTTATATTATAATATAGGATAAAATAGATTACTTTAGTATATAACAACATTATATAATACTTTCAGTCTGTTTGCTTTATACATTTTTTTTTTCATCAAACACTTTGGCTTTGTGAAGGATATCTACACGTAAAAAAAAAAAAATAGCATGTTTTACATATAAATTAGCAATATGATTTTCATTCTGATGAAATTAATAAGGTATAAAAAATAATTCCTATGTATTTTAAAATAATATTTTATAGAAACAATAAATAAGAAAATAATTGAAAGCCAGTTATTAATATACATTACCTTTTTCTTCAAAAATACTAAACAGAGGATCACTTTCTTTAATGACATAACTTAAAGATGCCTTTTGATAGTAATTGCTTTGCATTTCAATATTGTTGATAATTGTTGTAAGTAAATGAGCTTTTTCTACATTTATTCCTAAAAAAAAAAAAATATATATGTATACACATTAGGGTGATTCTTATTTGGATTATGGTGGAATTTCTTTTTGCACGCACCCTTAACTTGTTCTCAAGAATTTTTTTCAAGAATTATATGTTTATATTATAGTGGCATATAATTCTTGAAAAAATATTTATGTCAATTTTTAATACCTTATATAAACAAAATTCAGAATAAACAAGAAAACGAATGTATTTTAAATGGTAAACTTTACTTTGTTACAGGAGAACGAAAGAATTGTCTTATGAAGTTCAAATAAAGCTTAACATTTTTTTTTTTTATAGAACAAAGTTAGAAAAATAAAAAAATTCCACCATCACCCAAATAAGAACCATCCTGATTAACATATTAAAGGTACATTTTATGGGTAATTTTATAAGTAAAATCTATTTACAATTATAGGTAGGTCAGAGAGGAATTGTAGCATAAAATTGATAGTTTTGTATTGAAGAAAAAAATTTCACAAAGAGATTAGTGCCATTCTTCAGTAATTTTAAAACTAATCAAGTATTGATATTTTGAAAAAGAGGCTGCTTTCATCACTATTTCAATAACAAACTTTCAAAATTTAAAAAGTTGGCCTCCATTTTGAGATCAGAAGGGATTTTTTTATTGATTTCTAGAATAAGGAGAGATTATTAAAAGAACACAATACTGTAATACTCTATTAACAAATTAAAGTGAGCAATATAGAACAAAACAGAAGTAATGTTGACAGCAAGTATTTGTCTATTGCATAGAAATAATCATCTCCATATTGTCCGACTCACAACTAATCTGCTTAACACGTTTCGACGTTACAGTTCTAATTTGGCATCAAGAAATATATAAGAAAAATTCCTTTCTGATTTCAAGACAGACAATTTTGTGGTGGCATCCTCCATTTTAAAATACCACTGTTTTAAAAGTTAGATGCTAACGGGTTACACTGTTAATGAGACTTTATTTCTTCAATGCAGAAGTATCGACTTTATCAAAACAAAATTTCTCTAAACTATAATCGCTATCAGGCATTTCTTTCTGAATCAGCCTTACCTAATTAAAGTTTCAATATAAAATCAGAATCTAAAATAACTAACCTGGAGGTGAATGCATCAAATATGTAAAGTGAACATGGAAATGATAGAATGATGGTTGATAATGAACAAAAATGCGCAGTTGAGACAAGTGAATTCCAAATAATTTATAAATAGCAGCCTGAAAATTTGTTTTTAAGGTTATTGTTTATTAGTATAAATTAAATTTTAAATACATACTGATCCTTTATTTAAAATATTTTTTAATAAAGGTAGGTGATTGGCTGTTAAATCTCTTAATGATTTTATATTTCTTTTTTTAACAACTGCTAACAAATATAACTCGTCAATTTTACCAGACCACTTCAAATCTGGCAAAAGTAAAAATCCAATATTTTCATCATCTTTAGCATTTTCAGAAGCTGTATCATATTTTATGCTTTCTTTTTCAGATTTATATTCCAAACAATTGTATACCCACTGAAAAAAAAAAATGTTTATTAATTAATAAATACTTAGGTATATTATTCTTAATCAAAGAACATATACTTGTAAAGAAAAACTATTTTCTAAGATATGAGGTAGTGTAATAGTTTGATAAATTTCTTCAGTTTCTTGAACCAAGTATATGGGTTGGCTTGTAAATTTTAAAATATGTTTGGCTGTTGCTGGATATATTATATCTATTTTATTTGATGATATTTTGTCTACGAGAAAAAAATTAATTTATGCAATTTTAAATTGAAAATTTTAGAGTTCATTCAATTTTACCGTTGTACGGTGGTACACAACTAAATGATTTGTAAACATCATTTTCTATATTTTTTGTTAGCTTTGTATTCACATTACAGATATTTAATACAAAAGCTTCATCAAAAGCATACTTTTCCATAACAATTACTGCTGGTTCCTGGGATCCATTGAAATTGCCTTCGACAGCAATTATTTTGCGTTGTGTATCGTTCATTAAAATTTGTTTGAGATTGAACTTATCAAGGTTTTGTGAATGATCCATTTTAAATTAATTAATACAAATATTAAATTATTATCTAGGTAATAATACTTAGTACTAATTTGGTAATTTTACTATGAAGATGCACACAAGTGTCTAGGGAGAGAAAACGCCGAATAGCTGAAAGATAGCCGCTTTATGCTCTTATCATATTCTTATCATTTTATCTCTTATCTTCACAAATATGCGTCAATTAATATTTAACAATAACTGAAAAATGAAAACATGTTACTATCTAGAAAATAATCCTCGATTTTTTTTTAAAACCATGTCGTGTAGGTATTAGGGAAAAGTGAAAAAGCATTTGGAGTGTACCTAGCGATCTAACGGCGTCTTTAGGATTTGAACGTTTGTAATTCTATCTAAGCCAAATAGACTTATTCCGACTTCAATAAAAAAATTTTGTTATGAAAACACCAATAACTACAAATCATAATAATAATAATAAAAACGATCACATTTTGGATTAATACCAACAATTTTATTTCTCTATATTTCACTGATGATATTATACTTAAATCTGATCAGTATTAATTGGCGTATAATTCTGTTAAATTCAAGATCTATTTCTTTTTTCAAATGAATTTTCCTTATGATATTTGTAATAAAATCTTTCCGAAAAAATGTCCATAAGGTAGAAAATATTATTGTTGAAAATAAGACTTTTCAAAATATAATAATTGCATTGATCTTAATTTATAAAAAAAAAATAAAAATACTCTCAGCTAGAAACTAATCAAATTCTTGATTAGCGTGGCGTGTAAAATATAATGATATTTGATTAAATCACTTTTATTTTAATTTATTTTGATTTGCTGTTGATAATCGACATGTTATTTACATTACATGTACAATAGCGCAATGCGCATGCGTAATACGAGCGGTGCATTCCTGTATTAAAGTATTATCCATGATAACGCTCCTAGATATACATTCATATCTGTACGTTCTGTATCTGTATCATTCATACGTGTAAATATATATCTTAAATAAAATTTAAGTATATATTAAAAACTATATTAATTAGATATCGTGATTTCAATAATCACAAAGTATATCTTAAACCGTGGCAGTAGTGGAGTGACCATTGAGTCTATTTCTTGATACGTCATGTTCGTACTAAATATTTATGTCCAATGACATAACCGTGGTTACTGTCAAAGAGTATAGATTTATCTGTAGATTTTTACTCGACTGTTATCACAGTCGATATTTATCTATAGGTTTATGAAATAATTATTTATTTAGTACTTTATTTATCTATGTATTTTCCCGCTAAATTCGTATATCATGCTTGGTATATATTCGACTATTCAGCCATATCCTTATGGATTCAGCATTCAGCTAACATTCCTATTAAATCGCTTTTCGAATTGCACCAGAAATGGACCAAAAAGCGAAATTACGAAAGCTCATAGTCAGCACTTTTGCACTAGAAGGTTTTACAATACAAGAGTAAGTAATCCACTAATCGATATTATATTTATTTTAAAATTTTCAATATTTTAAGTTTCACTGTGTTAAGGTTTTTGTAATACACTATTGCGTAATATTCTTTTAGTTTTTAATTCAATTGTTGTTGTCATTTTAAAGGAAGGCATGTGCACATCTGATTCAACAGTTAGAACCATTAGAGTGTAAAGAGGATCGTGATCAATGGCTTGAAAAAATTATTGATTATGTCCGCGTTTCAAATACCAATGATGGAAATATAGTTACATATGACTTACTTAATAAAAGTCTTAAAGTAAGTTTTCTGAATGAGTTGCTTTTTATTTATTTTCTTTCTAAAAACTAAAAATAACATTCAAATAAGTACCTACCTACCATCTTTAGGTTAGGTTAGATTGACTTATGTCCTAGTATACTGAAGAAGTTCTTGATAGGAACCTTGGTTTAATGTTGATTTAATTGTATATTTAATGTTAAAACAAATTTTGTACCTACCTATTAAAAATAAAAGTAAATTTTCAATTTTTTATTAAAATCAACACTTAAATATGAAAAAGCAAGTAAAGTAGATAAAGTTGAGAGTTTAATGAGATTTCTTAACATTTAATCTTGCCACACATATATTATAAAGCTATTATTTCCTAATAGTTTTGTTGTGATTTACAAATCTTGAATGATGAAGACATATTACGCGTGACTCCTGCTAATAAATTACCTTGCTATAAATACTGTTCATCAACAAAAAAATTTCTTAGAATAACTTCTGATTCCAAATCACTTTCTATGTTTGGTGATGCATCCACAAAAATTGCTCAATATGTGAATAGGTAAGTAATATAAACTAACAGGTCTTATAATCATTTGTTTTTATTTTCTTGAAATAATATTTATAGAATTTGCCTCTGTTTGCATAGGTACACTGTCATAAGGCAGCGTATGACTAGAATAAAGACTGTAACTGATGGTACTCTCGGTCAACCATTAACAATTAGTGATAAAATACGAGATGTGGATTATCTTTTAAGTTCAGGAGCAGCTGGGAAATTTGATCACAATTCCAAAAAAAGTTCAGTTTTACTTCTCGGAATATTAGTACAGTTGAAAGAAGGAGGTCGTTATTATTTAGAAGACCCCACTGGAGCTATACCCATTGATCTTTCTAAAACAATATCCTTTGAAAACATATGTTGCTATTCAAATACAATGAACAATATTTCTATACAAGTTTAATTAAAAACAATTTTATCACGTATAAATAACTTTAATGAATATTTTGAAATTTTATAATTTTAGTAAATCTGATTTGCTTTCTTAACTCAACTCTTTTGTAAGATTTCAAAAAAGGCTATTTTTCTGAAAATTGTTGCGTATTAGCTGAAGGTTGCTATTGTAGCGATCAAAGGGTGTTTGCTGTCACTGATATGGCTTTACCTCCGTGCGAACGTGCAGAAATTAGCAAGTAAAAAGAGATTTTATATTCATATTTTTCGTCCTAGGGAAGAAGTGCATAAATCAAAGTTGTTTAGTTTTTAATATAAGTAAATTAAAATTTTAAAATTCATGCAATTATTTATAGATTTTTATATTATCTAAACTATTGTTATATATTGATGATTTTTTTTTTTTTTTATAGAATTTATTTTGGAGAAGCAACTACTTTTTGTGATGATGACCATAGTTTGAAATTATATAATCCTAAATTATTGGAATATGAAAAAACCAAAAAACGAATGATAATATTTATCTGTGATGTTTTTTTAGACGACCCTAAGGTTTGTATGACATATTTCATAATTTTCATTACTAGAGCTTGGAAGTTATAGAAGTCGCCTATTATACTCTATGCTCTTTTTTTGTAGAAGATCAAGCTAGAAATCCTGTTATACACTATGAAGGGTTTAAAAATTGAATATTTACTATGTGTTTTGTATATTTCCTCAATTTTAGAAAAAAATGCATATTTTGTCAATTTTCATACGTATATTATGCATAGTTAATATTTTTTATTTTTTCATCTATGTATTTTAAATAATATTGTTTATAAAATTTAATATTTAACATATTTATTTAGGTATTTATTGCCACCGTGCATAGGTGCATGTTGTGAATTTAATTAATTTTGTTTTATTTTATTGTATTTTTATTTTTATTTTTAAACAGTACACTGATACAATGTCCTATTACTAATTATAATAATAGTACTAAAGTTTATTATTTGAATGCATATTTTCGGTTTTTGTGTGTATATTTTGTCAGATTTACTTTTTATAATTTCTAAGTCCTATTCATTACTATCAATATTAACTACAAAAAACCTATTAAAAATTTAAAAATACCTTGTAAAATATGAAAAATAGAGTGAATTACATTTAATGTAATCACTGGTTTATAGAATCAACCCTTTATTGGAATCAAAAATGAAAATCCCAAACCAAATTTTATGTTATTTATGCTAAATTAACCTTTTATTAGAATCACCAAGTACTGGATAATTTAATCACTTTTTTTTTAAACATTCTTATCGTTTTTATTATAACTATAATATAATATAATAATATATATAATTTTTAATTGTATATTGAATATGGATTTTAATTTCAGGTTAATATGAAAATTTGTAGATTCTCAAGTAGAATCGAAAATAGATACCTAGCTTCTTTATTTTATTTTAAATTTATGTATAGATATAGAATTATAGAATTATTAAAAAAAAAAAAAAAAATGTTTTATGGGATCAACCGGTTAATAGAATTAAAATGGCCTGAACCAATGTGATCACATTTAGTGGAACTCACTGTAGAATAATATAATTAAAGATTAGACATTTTTTTTGTATAATTTGTTGAATATCTTTATATTGAAATAATTATGGGAGTATAATATATAAAATATTTTATTACTGATTATATTCTAGAATTTGATTAATTATAAAGTTTCATTAGGTACATTAAAAAAACAAAAGGTTAGGTATTGGTTAACTAATGCTGTTGATGGATGTGTCACTAATGTAGGTGGGAAGTTGGGAAAGTAGGATACATTAAATTAGGTATTTAATTTATATTTGTAAGCTACAATAAATGAACTACGAACCTGGGTGATACATGTTTTGAAATAACATAATATTTATTATTTTTATCATAATTTGATCAAAATAATTATAAAAAAAACTATATTATACTCAATATTTTTTTTTTTTACTACTAAGTACAACTTATAATGAACCTTGTCTTAAATTTTTAAGCATTTCTGGTGGGTCAAACAATTTTGTTGGAAATTATTTACAGAGAAAAAAAAAAGTAAAATATACATACAAAAAAAGATCACATAGTTAAATCAATAGGGATCAGAATCTTAAAACCTTAGAAATTAATTCTATATATTTTTTCCTCTATAACTATATAGTTTTTTTGATAATTAGGATTATCAAAAATTATAATTTATTCTAATTATAAAACATTGTTTAATTTTTATAATAGAATAGTCTTAATTTAATCGGTACTAATAATATAAATATTTTTATCTGTCTTGAATTATGGACCAAAATATTTTATTGATATTATAAACATCAAACATAATAATATTATGTACAAATGTATCAAAAAAACTGATAAGTACTTTTTAAACAGGTTTTAAATAAATTCCACACCTTCTTAAATGCGTTTAATGAAGTCATTCCAGTGGCTATAGTAATGATGGGTGACTTCTTGTCTTGTCATGTTCCTTCACATGTATATGCTCAGGAATTGAAATTTCATTTGACTCAATTAGGACATTATTTGCACGATAACACACCCGAACTTAAAAATACCACATTTGTGTTGTTACCAGGACCTGGTGATCGTTATTGTGGTACTGCAAGTGCCAGCATCTTGCCAAGGTATTTCATTATTTTCAGTATAAATATTTTGGAATTAGATTATGTTTTAATAATTGATTTTGAATATTTGTTTTTTTGGTTTATGATTCCAAATGTGCTTCAATTATATTTCTATTATTTAGACCACCTATACCTGATAGTTTAACTGAAGAATTTCGTCGCCTGGTACCTAGATGTGTGTTTACCACTAATCCATGTCGCATACAATATTGTACACAACAACTACATGTAATTCGAATTGATGGTCTAATGAAAAAGACAGCTAACTATGATGTAAGGCAAGGATCAGTAGATCGAAAAAAAAGTACAGTGGCCGGTATTGATAAATCTGCTGTTCAAAATGTAAATAGTTATAAGTTATACAAATTGTTTTATAATTATTTTTGTGTTTACTTATTAATTAGTTTTATTGGCATTTCTTTGATTACAATTTATGTGCTCAATGATCTTTTGTATTCCAGTATATACAAACATTAGAAAGCCAATCCCATTTAATTACTGTTCCTTTGGATGTATGTCCCACTTACTGGCCACTTGCATCACATTCCTTGAGTTTATACCCAATGCCAGATCTAGTTTGTGTCGCAGATGCTAATGCACCAGAGTACAGTACTAGCGATGATTCAAGTTCAAGAATATCATCGTCTTCGGGTTGTGTGTTTATTAATCCAGTGAGTTAATTTATTATGACTAGATTTTATCATAAATTCGTAAATATATGAACTCATTTTTTCTTAATTTACTTAACTTATTTGAACAATATAATTAAAATAAATTTAAGTAAAAATAAAATGTATTTAGCCAAATTTTTTGGTTAACGTCATTTTATTTTTTATTCAATATTTTGTAAAAACATTTTTTCATTATTCATTAAATTATTTTTATAAAATCAATACAATTGTACATTAAGTTTTTAATGTGATCTTAATGAATCTTACTATGAAAGTTTTTAATGTTTGATCACACTTTTTTTACATCAACATCAGTTATAGAAGGGAAGTTCATTTTTTAATTTTAAGAAAATAAAGTATAAACAAAATTATTAAACGGTTAATACTCGTAAATAAATATATATATATATATAAATAATAATAAAAAAAAATGCGTTGCTTGGAATATTATGAAATGTGTATTGTATGACGAGTTTCAAATTAAAAATGTATCATCAGGTAAAATCACAAAATCAAAAAGTAAAAGGGGCGATTGAATATGAAAAAATAAATAAAGGTATGCATAGCAAAAAAATTGTACAAATTGGTTGTTTTACACAGAAATAAATTTATTTTAATAGGATAGATTATTTAAAATGAGTTATTATTAGACATAGATATGTTAAGAAATTAAAATTATTTGGTTATTATTTATTATGATAATATTATTTATAATTTATTGATGTAAGATATTTTTTTTAAATCGGTTTGAACATTTAAAATATTATTAAAATTATTTTTTTTAAATTTCATTGTGTGTGTGTGTAATTCTTCTAATATTGAATTAATGTAAATGTTATTTCGGGTATTTAATATTTTTAAGTCTGTATTAATATAAAAACTTATATTATGGTTATTTTCTAAAACATGTTTAACAATATTAGAATTAAGGGCATTGTTTTTTAATTTTATTTCAGAAATGTGTTCATTATATATTATTTTGAAATTTCTACATTATTTGTATTTAAAATTAATTAAAAAAAAAATATTCCCCTTTGAGCATTCTAAAACTGCCTCTATCAATATATAAATTCTGGTCATAATCTTATTAATGAGATAAAATTTAAATCAAAATGGATCAAGATAAATAAATAAATATATTTTTGTTTTTCTGTTTGTAGTCATCATTTGCCAGAAATAAGTACAGATTTTCCGTTTACTTAACAGCGCAACGTCAAGTAGATGACAGTCAAATACCAGATGACGATGAAGTTGAAAATAATTCATTAGATGTGTAACAGGGTTCTGGACAATGAAGCAATAGTTTTCATGTCTATTTATTATTACTAGTATATTGTGATTTCATCTGTTATAGTACATTACTGTATTTTACAAAATTGTAAACAATTTATCTATTGTAAAGTTGTTGTATAGCATTTGCAATTTTTCATAAACAAATATTGAATTGATTAAAAAAAAATTAATTGATTTTGATTTTTGTTGTAGATAAATCATTGAACAGTAATCATAGAAATCTGAAACATAAACTAAACATAGCACTTTTCAGATGTGGTACAGTTTTCAAAATATTCTGGCATTTTTTTTTTGCTTTTTATAGATATTTGAACAGAAATTTTTATTGGTAATTAATATTATAATTTTTTAATAGAGTTAACAATTAAATAATAGGAAAGAATACTAATGTTTATTATAAATTTGAGATCAATTTCTTACATAGAAATAATTATTTATTTTCATTAAATTAGGTGTACATAATAATTTTATTAATTTTTAAAAAAAGTCAAAATAATTTACTCAATTTTTTAAATTGCATATTATTTGTAGATTTCTACCATGTTTTTTCCAAAAAATAATTAATAAAAAAAATACACAAGTTAATATGGTACATTATATTTTAATGCAACTAATGATTATAATATATAATTAACTAGTAGGTAAAGCAACTTATTAAATTTAATATAATTGTATTTATAGTTTGATTAAATTGGTATAAACTATTTTTGATGATCATAGTTGTAAGTATATACTGGAAACGAAATAATATTATTTCGTAATATTAAAATTAAGTTGGGTAAGTATGTAATGATTGTTTCAATTTTTAGTGCATATACATTCATTGAAATATTTCAAATTTTATATTTTTTTTAGTATCTGTGTGGATTTTAATATAGTTTCAATTATATCTATATTTAGTTTTGTTTTTATATTCAACATTTAACTGTTAAAAATAAGATAGAGAGAAAAGTTAAATTAAAAAAAGAGAGATTTTTTTCTTTGATTTTACAAAAAAATGAATGGATTTAATTTTTAATTTTTGAAAGAAGGCTGTTATTATGTTTTTTCCTTAATTTACTTAAATTAATAATAGTTTTTCTATTTAAGCTAAATCTTTGAAACTGTTGGCAATCATTATTTTTTTTACTTCTAGTTTACTTTGAAGTTGAATTAAACCAAAGTTTTATTTGAATTATTGTTTTAATCAAATATGCACTTACCCATTTGAAATTGTCATATGAGATAAGTGCAAATTTTTCAATAGGGCAAGTGCGACTAGGGCTTGGTTTGGCAGGTTTTTATTATTATTTAATTATACTTAAGTGTTTAAATTTTGATTAAGTAAAAATATAATACCTATTTTTTAAGTTTAAATGATGTGATATTTATCTATCCAAAAGTTTGAGAAGCAAAATGTGCCTAATTTTTAAAAAAGTATAAGATGTTATTTGATGTTATTTTATGATTCAAAAAAACAAATTATTGGTCATAAAATGTAGTTTTAGGCAGTTGCCCATCTAATATTATTATACATTTATGTATTTTTAGTGATCTGATTATTTACTTTCGTGATACTGTGATAAGTTCTCATTTTTAACAATTCAAATAAACAAATAACAAAAGTTATGCTTACTAGATTTATTTTAATAGTGTTTTTTAATTACCTATAATACTTTTAGTTAGTTAACAAAGAACTGTTAAAATATAACAGAAGTTTTAATCTAAAAAACTAATCATAGTTAGATTTTAAAATTATAGTCTGACTTGATCCACTCCACCTAACCTGGTTTTATAGATTTTAATGTTATTTCTCGCTAGAAGTGTGTTCACATAAAATATAGAACACTAATAATCACTATTAGTGGGAAAATTTAATACTATGGTATTAATTTATTCAAATAATAATTATAAGGTTATTATTATGTTTTTTTTTTTTTAATATTTATAACTTCAAATATTTTAAGCATACTTAGGTAATATTATATTACTGGAAAACAAATTAAATATCACACTATTTTAACTTGTGTACTTCTTCAAATGGGTTAAATACCTACCTATTCTTATTTTTAATTTTATACTTTAAAATAAAAAATATTTTTTCCTGAAAACATTGTTGAGTATATTATCTTTTACTGAACCAATAGTTTATTATTTATGATATATTTTTAAAGCTGCGATGAGCTAAGAGTGAAATAGTGCAATCAAATTACTGTTTATAATATCCATTTTTGTATTTGCCAAGAACCTTAACTATGTTATAGTTTTCTAATGCATATGTACATAAAATTATGTTTATTAAATATTTGATATGCACATGTACAATTATCAGACATATTATTTTGGAATATGATATCGAAAGCTGGAATAGCAATCAGAATATAGATTTAGAAGTGTAAAAATGGTTATAGATAATTACAGTAAAAAGAAAGGCATTTACTATCTTATATGTGCTATAATTAAATCAATCCAACTTAATTATTATTGCACCTAAATTTAATTATTAATACCTACAATTTTTTTAAAACCACATCTTTGTTGTGCTTTAAATTGTTTAGTTCACTTTTGTTCTTATACTTACTAATAAATATTTAAAAATAGTTCACAGTAACCATGAGCCACTAGAGTTCATGACAATAACATTTACAAGTTTGTATATCTAACAGGCAATGTAGCAAATATGTGTTTTAATATTTCAATAAGACTTCGGACTTAAAATAAAAAATATTGCATCAATTTAAACACAATATTTACTATGTTTTCGGAGTGTGAATTTTTGATATCTATTTCCCAGATAATTATTTATACTTAACTTTATAAAAAAAAAAAAAAAAAAAAAAAAAAAACATAGAATTGTCTATAAATATAAAAATTATAAGTAATGAATATTATATTATCACAAATTCCTCATTGAAAACATATAGTAAATGTTTCTATCTTTAATTTGGTGAAAAGGGTTTTGTTTTAGGCTTATTAGATCGTGAGTAGATACTACTGGAAGTATGAAATAAATTTTTGCTATATAGCCCATTAGACAAATACAGTAAGATACAGATATGCAATATACAATAATATTCTATGTATTATAAATAATACCTCTGACGGCGGTATTGATAAAAAATTTAAAAAAAAAAAATCCAATACATTATTTCAATGTTTAGTGGGCACTTAGCTATGTCACAATGGAAAAAAATAAACTTAGGTTGGATATTTTGTCATGGGTATACCTATTATTGTTATTTCCATATACTGGATAATGCACATATTTATTATTCTCATAGGAGAACATCGCCGAATTCTGCTTCGGCCCATTTTTCCTGTTCGTTGGACGTCATTTCAAGTGTGCAACCGTACTTTTCGGGATTGTCGGGCCGACTGTGTTCATCTTGAGCTAAACAGCACATGAGACCCGAAGGCGGGTCGACTTCTACGACAGCACTGTTCGTGGAGTGCACCACCAGCTCTGATTGGCCAACTATCAGCTTGGACACGCCGGTAGTGATTTCACCGTCCATCGAACCCTCGGACATCATTCCCGGCAGATTCAAAAATCGTTTCCATGCTGTGCGGAACTGCGAACAGATAAAACAATACTCGTTTCAAAAATTATAAAAACATCACGAATTGTAAAAAAACCTATATGCCTAGGTAGGTATCTACATTTATTTATTGTATATATATTTTTCAAATCGTACAATCCTATAAATTATAATTATTCAACTTTCAAAACAGGTACTTAATGCCTAGGAAAAAAGGGTTACATATACGATGTACTTACAAAATAGACACGGAATTGATAGGTACCTATTTATTTTCCCTGAAATTCACCTAACTTTTATATTATTATAAGTATTATCTGATATAGATTACATAGATATAGTATTACACTGATATAGATATAGTGGCGATTTTTTTCTTTGTCTTTTATCTGTTTAATATCAGTATCTATAGATAGGTAGGTTATCTATATAGTTTGTAGAATGTATAGGTATCTGGTATTCGAACTTAACTTTACATTTTAGATTCTGAGCGAAGCGGGGAATATATTGATTTTACAATGATATTCATTTTCTTTTTAAATTCTAAGTGGAGCAAAGTAGCTTATGATTTTGCAAATATGCTTTTTTTCTTTTTCTATCTGTGCGCAAATTTTTCCTATTAGATATCTTGCTCCGATTTTTAAGTGTAGCACCTTTTCCGAAAGAAAATCGGAATGAGGAGGTACTTTAGAAAGGTCAATTTTTGATCTTCTCAGGATTTTTTTCAACAAACAGGGAAAAACGGGAAAATGTATGAAATGTAAAAAATTGAATTATTTTATCATAATATGACATATATATTGTTGACAAAGTATCACTATCAACTGAAATAATTGAAGTAAATACTTTTGTATAGTATATAGTCTGGAGAGGTGGGCTAGATCCCTGCAAGGCTAACCGTCTGGATCCGCCACTGGTCAGAGGACCCCTGAACTCCCCCACCCCCATATATCAACCATTGTAGACCACTGAAAAACGTAATAATCAATAATTTAATATATACGACGATGATAGATTCGAAACGTAAATTTAAAAAAAAATACACCGGTATACCTGCGTATTGAGTCCTATATAGATAATTGGATTCCAACATATGCTGGACTTAGCGCACAGAGCCGGTATTATGCTGACCGCAGGACTGATCCGAACTCCGCCAAATGCTATCAAAAGTGCCATCACCGAGTACGGCATCCACGCGGTTAAAAACGCCAATATCATCATGGCTACCATAATTGCTACCCTGCATTCCGCTTTGGTCGCCTGTCCTATGATTTTTTCGGCGGCTCTCTGTCAAACGAAAAACATGCCAATTATTATGATATTGTTAATTTAGGTTTTTTTTTTTTGTTTTAAAAAGACGTCATTGTGATATTTTATAAAATACAGTTGATAATTTTTTTTTTATCATGAACTAGCAATTTTCTTGTATTATTTTAAGTGAATTTGTTTACCTGTTTTTTTTTTTTTTTTTATTTTAACCATTGTGGAGTCTTTTAAGTTATATTTTAAAACCATTTCTAACTTTTACTTCCACTCCATATACCTTAAATAAGTATATACTTTTGTTTTTCAAACAGAAACCTCTCTTTTTAAACACAGTTTCGAACAGAGACAATTTTTCTAGACTTTTGTGATTGGTATGCATATTACTAATATCTGCAGATTTACCGTTTAAAGTTTAGACCGAAGGAATAGGGAAGGGTTCTGAATCAATTGCATATTATCTATTTTAAAATGATTAGTTGGTAGCTAAAATAAAGCTTGAAAAATGCCATAATGATTAAAAACACAGAACAAAATTAATTTAAAATCTCCTGAAAATATCGCTGGTTTATGATAAAAAAAAAAAAATCACTAGGTATAATATATATATTTATTTATTATAATATTATAGTATTTCAAGCAGAACGTCAAAATATCGTTTTCCGTTTGAATTTTCCGATTTTATTTGACACGAATGACTAGGTTATGTTAGGTATATATAAAAAATATACATACTTATTATATTGTGTATATGTCTTGTGGTACGAAATCATAAATATTTCGCTATATTTATTACTTATACTCGTACATTGCGCACGAAGGAATTATTATTCAAATGAAATATGTTTTTAGTATAACTAGTAGAAAACAAAATATCAATATCTATAAATAATGACAAAATATGTTATGATATAGTTCAAAACATATCGTAATTTAGGTATATTCGTATTCGAATTAGAAAGAAAAAGCAATGGATAGAGAAGGATTGAGGATTGTGTGTGAAATAGGATGGTCTTGAGAGGTCGTATTATGACCTCCGTATTATGGCTTATAACTATGTGAAAAAAAAAGTAATTAAATAAATGTTTTGAAATTCACATTTTAGGACATCCCTGACATTCAATGAGTTTTACCAATATAAATGATTTTTGACCACAAAAATTAATTGCAAGAAGAGTTATAAGTTATGTAAAATAAAAAATAAAAAAATGAATTTTACATTAATTTTTAATAAAAACTAATTAGGTAAAAAATATAACACCTATATCCAAATAATATTTTTTTTAAAATTATATATTGTTTATTGTATTTATAGATTTTTTAATAATGATAAGAGTCCGGTATTTACTATAGATTTTATCAATATCCCAGCGTTCGTTTTAAAAATTTATTTCAAAAGTTAATTTTAATTTTTGAAAAGGGTCAAATTTTGAGGGTAATGCAAGAATATTACAATAAAATAAGAAGTTTCCGAGTTTAGTAATTTTGCGCATATTTTATCATGTTCGTACGAAAAAAAATGCAAAGTCGAGTTGAACATTTTTAAAGCGGTCGGCAAATCACTTCGAAGGTTATTATAAAATTTGATTAAATTACAATTTTTATAATAACTTTATAAATTATTTCAAAATCAATTATCGGTATCTGTATAAGTATTGTTTTGAAGTATACTAATAAAATTCATATACATTTATATATCACTAAAAATCAGTGTAAACTGGCATAATGTAATACAAATAAATAATAGTAATTTAGGTAACTTAGGTAATTTGGTAACAATTGGTACTTACCTTTCTCACAGTGAGGACGAGGCTCACATACGAGTAGATAATTACTGTAACTGGTATGAATAGTCCAAAAACAAATATGTATATAACATAGTTGCTGTGTTCACCGCTTTCCCAGTCTATTGAACAACTAGAAAGTAAACATTGTTTTTTTCGAATCAACAATTTTATAAACTATTTACCTGATGAAAAAAACATTTTTTACAAAAAGAAAACCGTTCAAACGTCTAAATTTTTTTTGATGGGCTCCGGATAAAAAATATGTGTTGCCTATTATGGCTATTTTTGTCTTCTTGAAATTCACTTTTTTAAATGTTTTAAATCCGTTTTTTTTTTATTCTGTATCTTTGCTCTATGATTAAACACGATACCTGTACCATTACTTAGAAAGAGAGAAAGTCAAATGTGCCGTTTCGATAAAATATACTGCACCAAAAATGGTGCTCTGAAAAATTACAAAAACTTTAGATACTATTTTTTCATAAGGAGCCCGCGATATAAGAAACGTTTATATTGGTACCTAATTGAGTTATTCGTATTACATTTCGTTTTTTAAAATTCATTTTTTTCTAGAAATTTAACAAACGATTGTACAACCTGACGCACATTCCATATTATATTCTACAACTGCACACGAAGAAAAGATGTTCGAAATTATAATTTCAACATTTCCATTATATTAATATAGAATGTCGTTGCACAAAACAAGTCGAACGATGTTTCAAAATAAAACTAGTTCAATCACTTCGAGAAGAGTCTAAAACTAGTTCAATCACTTCGAGAAGAGTCTAAAACTAAAAGACACTATAAAGTATTCCGTAAGTACTAATAAATATACATCTACCATCAGGTACTTATGAGAGATCGTTTTTGATTTTCCCGATAGTTTGATCGGCAAATGTTAAAAACCGGAAGAAACGTAAGAAAACTGGGAAAATCGGTACAACATTAAACACATTTTATTAAAAAAAATAAATATGTAAAGCCTTTTTAATTGTTTTACTAGAAAATGGCTTATGTATTGTTGACAAAGCATTACTATCAACTGAACTCCTTTCAGAATCGTTTTTTCGTTAGCAATCGCATATCGTTGCCTACAGGTATCCATTAAATTCCCTTCTATATCCTACCTTCTCAACTTCCCACCTACACCAGTGGTTGCACCCGTCCCCATTATCTTACCTTTCTTTACTATATTTAGTTTTAGATGTACCTGATGTTCGCCGATTCATTAACATAACGGTTCCATCCTAATAATGGAGGTCCTGTTACAACGAATGCATAGAACCATATTCCAGCAACTGCATACAACGCGGTCCCCTTCGTTAGTCTGCTGCTACTGAACGGATAGCGTATCATTAAATATCTATCGTACGCCAACACCGTTAAAGTCGTTATTGACGCTATTCCTACATAATTATCGTTTCATTACATCATATTGTAATAGGAAAGTACGTTTTATAAAACATGTGCTTAGGAACATAAAATGATTGTACCGTGTGCAATGTACCAATATAATAAGAAAACAATTAAATTTTACCTAATAGTGCCATAAAAAATCCATATACAACACACAAGGTGTGGCCAAATATCCAGCCTTTGGTGATGGCCGCAGCTAACGTAACTGGGTTTCCCAATATAGATACCGCAAAATCGGATGATGCTAAATTGAATATAATCACGTTTTGAGGAGTCCATAGCTGAAAAAATATATGTCATTTATCAAATCACAATAAAAATAAACAATTTTTTGTATTTTTATTGTATCTGTTATTAAATGTTTAAGTATTCTAAGCCAAACATCAAATACAATTATTTTAACTGTCGAAAAAAAGAAAGCCGGATATTATATAGTTTGCATCATGTGTAAACTATCGTGTGTCGTAGGTGGGAAGTTGGGAAGTTAATGCAGTTTAGTTTACTTAGTGAAAACAATGCTAAATCATCGCAATCAAAAAACACGATTTTGAATGCAACTTTGTAAACTGTTAGATAATCTTAATTTCATTTGAAATAGCTCGGGAGCTCTAACACATGCCTATTGGTTTGTCAATAGCTTTAAAAATCAATAATAATATTATAATCTAGCATTCAGTTGCTCACTAAGAACAGTCTTCTGCATCCTTAAATAAATTTCGTTATAAACAGGATTTGAGTGTAATTTTAATGAAATAATGCGATTGGAAATCTATGGGGACGCGGCCCGCTCTGAAATACCATCTTTCTTACGCTTAACTTCATTGTGTAGAATTATTAATTAAAACGATTAAATTGTTCGAGTACATTGAAATCTTTTCAAACTCCGTTGCATCATCACTATTACATAATAGGTATACTAATTTTACGTTGTACAACTTCCGCGGGCTTTTCATAATTAAATTATTATACCAGAATTTAATTCTATCCTTGACTATGGGTGCACACAATAATATTATTAATAAATTAAACTGATTATTGTTTTTGTTATGGATAAACTGGAAAATTTAAATTTTTAAATTTGTATTGGTGTATTAATTATATTTTGATAATATGCACGATAAAATTTTATACTATTTGAAAAATTTTATTAACCGTGAGATATAAAATGTTCGTGGGCGAATTATTTACGAATGCCCAGGTATCGATGTATCGACAAACTAAAAATAAATGTACAATCACGAAAAATGATATTGAGGGGATGAATAAAATAATCATGAGTTGATCATCTGAGCGTGTTTCGATTTAATAGAACGTCACCCAGACACCCATAATACATGCATTAATTAATATCGATACAGCAAATTAATGTTTAGCAGAACCGATTTGGGCTTTTAGTTTTAATATAAGAGTGAGTTTTCCTGTTATCAAAATTAAAATAAAAACATTATCTGTTCAAAAAAAAACAACATACAAACGTATGTTGTTTTTTTTTCGTTACTTTAATTTTAAAGCTAGAAATGAGTATGTGAAATATTGCAATTAAAAAATTGATTATACCTCGAAAAATATAAATACTGGAAAAAACCAACTTGCGAACACAGACATTGTTTTTACACACCTTTTAGTTGTATAAAAATACAGCAGTAGCAGATATTCAACATTTTTCCGGGAGAGGTCTTGAAAAATCATATGTATTTAAAAGGCATCTCTATTAATAGATGTCCATTTTTTGGAAGATATTTCATTGAAATTACATCGGTGTCTGGACCCCCAGACACTTTTGACCCCCCCCTCCTCTCGTAAATCGGCCACTGAAATACGACCATACTTCGCACGTGGGTGTAGCCACTGTTGTAGGTGGAAAGTTGGGTAGGAAGAATACAGAAGGGAATTTAATAGATATCCGTAAGCAACGATAAACCATTATAAACGAAAAAACAATTCTGAACGGAGTTCAGTTGATAGTGATGATTTTTCAACAATACATAATGATATATTATGGTAAAGTAATTCAATATAGGCGATAAAATAATAAAGTAGAAACAAAATTATTAAAATGGTTAATATTCGTAAATAAATATATAGGCTGTTCTTCGAATATCTTGAATATCTTCAGAGATATTCAAATTCTGTTTTTTGTATATTACTCACAGGGATGAGAACTACCATTATTTATTTTCGAATTAAATTTTTATTTTATTATTTTCGGAAAATTTTAACTTATCACACTATTCCTGGCGACGTATTTATTAATTTATTTATTTTTCATTTTTATATGTACATTTTTTATTTATATATTTATTTACTATATTTAAATATAGACATTGTATATTTTCTTTAATAATATTTGTTTAATATTGTACCGATTTTCCAGTTTTTCCTAAGTTTTTCTCGGTTTTTCCATGTTTTTCCCGGTTTCCCCATTTGTTCATAAAAATCCTGAGAAAATCAAAAAATGACCTCCTTAAAGTACCTTTCCAGTCAAATTTCCTTTCAGAAAAAGTGCTATCATTGTAAATCGTAGAAAAATTTCTTGTAGAAAATTTGTTCACACGAAAAAAAAGGCCGGAATATTTCGCAACTAATACCTACATTTCGTACATTTTCCTGTTTTATCTCTGTTTTTCACATTTGTTGAGAAAACTCCAGGGAAAATTGAAAAATTATGTGTTTAAAGTACCTCCCCAGTCAGATTTTTATTTAGAAAAGGTGGTACTCTTAAAAATCGGAGCCAAATTTCTGGTAGAATTTTTGAACACAGAATAAAAAAAAAAAAAATAATCATCATTGTAGTAAAACCAATACGTTCCTCACGCCTCTCTGAATCTAAAATAGGGATTGAAACTTGTTTTAACGCACTATATGTGACATGACTTTGGGTGATCGAACACTACATAAACTTTATTATTTTTATAATATTTATGGAATTATCTTCTATAACTTTCTATAACGGTCAGCATATTACGGATAAAACTAATATTAATTGCTATCTATAACATTTGTCGATAAAGTTGGGCTCGTCTCGCGGCTCGTTTAAGTTTAGTATCTTAACAATTGGTGTAATAATATGTGAAAATAGAAAATGTCGGTAACTTGAATGTGGAAATGTCACATAAAATATTCTATGCTCAATCGTGTTGCTAAAAAGCTATATGCTCAATCGTACTGTGCCGCGCTCAAATGGCTATTTTAGGGTGAATACCAAATATAAAAGTAATTCATTTGAACCTCTTGAGTTGTGATTATTGTGATGTTGTATTATAATACAGTCAATGCCGATTGTCAGAATATTGAATATTGTCATTATAGATTTACCTGCGGATCCCTAAGCATAATGAAAATGACACAAGCATTGAACAAAAATCCGACTATCCCGATAATGCTCAGTACGGTGGCAGCACCTAGGTAGGTGGCATCTGAAATTAGATGTTGTGGCACGTAATCTTCGTTCATAAGGATACATCATTAGACCACATTGGATGTTGATCATCAACGTGTTCGGTTTTCGATAGCGCCTAAAAAGTATACATAAAAGCAAGTTAGCATTTTTTCTTTAAGTAATAAATCACAATCGATTTTTCATTTTATGGTTATTGTACTGTTTTGCGAGTATATTATAATATTATTTAAGTTTAAGAGATGAAATAATATACAAAAATCATTTGTTGAACGTTGGAACCCCGGGTTCGGATTCTTATATTTCGGATATCAAAGAGTAGGTATTATTGAATAATGAATATTGATTTAGTTGTGTATTAATATAAAATGCTGTATGCTGTGTATTAGTTCCTTATAATATTCTCCCTTCAGTTGATCAATCTCAACAGATTTTGATATTTAATTATAAATAAAAAAATATTCTGATGTTATTTTCGGATAAAACTCCGAAACAATATAATTATTTATTCAATATAATAGAAAAGTTCGTTGTATTTAATTAGTTAAAATACGATAAAAAAAACAAACTCCAAATAGCAAAAGTAATATCTAAAAAAATGTAAATATTTTATTGACCATTATTTTTTAAAATTAAGTTTAATCAATATTCACTGTTGTAGTTCACGTTCGTATGAATATATTCATGAGAAACTTATATTTTGATGTATTTTAATACAAGTTCATTTATCAATTTTGTGTAACTCGAGAGGGTCACAATTTTTATTTTTGAAGGATTATAAACTAATAAACTATAGTAACAATGTAAATTGTAGCTATGTAATCTGCACCAGTGCACCAAGTGCATAATTTACAAAAATACAAACTTAATGTCCGGCTCGTCAAAAGAATGTTCCGTTCCCGAAATTTATTCATATAACAATATATTATAGAACATTATTTTCTTTTGTTCTGCAGACTAAGTAATTTTATTCATTACATGGAAAATAAATAGGTAGGTATTTAATTGTGCACCCTTTGAACAGGATACTTATTCGTGGAATGGTTAGGCATTTAAACTTAATTTTGCTTAACGCGTTAAACAATATTTATAGACAGATGACTGCATAATGTACAGAGTACAATTAAAATTACTATACATTTTACGTATGGAATATTATAAGCTTTATATTTATTTATTTGTATGTATTAACGACCAACGGCTTTTAATTAAAAAGGCGAACATACTTCTTACGATGGGTGGGACACTGTTGTATCAATTTCGGCTTTTTTTGGCTTTTTATAATAAATCTACATCCAAAGAAGTCAGAATACTGATTGCTATCATAATTTACATATAGTTACGTGAGGATTGAAGCAACAAAGAACGTCTCTTAAATCCACGGGGAAAAAATTATTAGTTACATTGGTAGCATTCAACAAATAGTTGGTTCAATTTAGTTTTTAAGATGCGCCCGTGACCACAAAACTGTATGTAAAGGCTTCTGAGTCAGGTGTGCCATTAAGGTTTCAATAAGGGTTTTCACATTTTTAAGCGGGTCAAATTTTCTGTAGCCAGGTCACGGTGTAATTTGTAAACAATTTTTTTTTTATAAATTGTCAAATTAACATTTTTAGGTTACTACTAACAAAAATAACATACGGTTATGACAAAATTATTTTTCGCATTATTTTAATCGGAAAATGTATTTCTTTCATCATATTATATTTTATTATTTGCCTTAATAATAAAGTAGAAAATTAAAAATATATATCTAAAACAAATTATTGCCTAGCAATAATAAGCAAATCAATTTTTTACTTTTAATAATTTTAGGTAATTTAAAGATATACCTTATATATATATATATATATATATATATATATATATATATATATTTCAGATTAATAATCACATATTAATATATTTGCAAAATATAATAATTCCAAGTATGAGTTTTCCACGTATAGTGGGGTGGAATCACCACCTTAAGAATTGTTTTCTATTAATATATGATTTAATCTATTTATGGTTATTGAATTTATGATAGATTATTATAAAATCAATGGTATTAATATTTTAAAATTGCATTTTCCCGTTCTGTTGCTATCCTACGCTATTTATTGTTTTGTATTAAAAATTGATATCGTCCAGGAAAATAATTCATGAAGATGAATACCTACATTAATAACTAAATGGTTTACCGAATTATATAATTATAAAATTTACGGGTAAAATAAAAATTAGTAATCATAACAGTGATACTGCCGACTCTACTCTACACGGGTGCAAATTATGTCACACCACCTAACCTAATAGGTACTATAGATATGTGCAGCGCAAACCATAAAATAAAAATAGGCCAAAGACATAGAAAGTAATAGGGCCACCAAAGTGTACTCTGCGATACCCTGTGCCTACTTAGTACGTTTTATGGATAAATAACATATGTTATGTATTTTATTCCTATAAAATACGAGCCACCGGTTTAATTTCATTATTGTTAAACAAGTATTGACCCTATATGTGTAAATAGGGGAGAAGGGCTGAGGGTTAAGCTCCTCAAATTAAGTTCTTATCAAGTAAATACTATGTATTCACAACATTGATTACATGGTGTTATCCAAAAGACCTTTTAAAATATTTTGGTTATTTGGCGCCTAAAATTGATCCCCATAATATAATAATTATAATATCTCTTTAACTTTTAAACATATTCATAAAAATTATTTTTTAAATATGATATTATCGATTTAATTGGTTAAACTTGGCTACACGCTGGCTCGCCAAATAACATATTATAATATTTTATTTTATTTTATCATCATGCGTCGTCTTCTTGGTGGCCATCAAATATTCATATTATTATTATTATTGTTACGTTATATAGGTACATTATGATATGAATTCAAACATTGTGTAGGTAGTGTTAAAAGTGAAGGGACGAAGTGTGCCCATTTTTATTAATGGTAAAATTATCAGTTTCCTTTAGTTTAGGTCTGCAAAGTCTAGAGGAACGCTTTAGTTATTACCACGGAGACATTTTTAATGCAATTTTAAAAAACGAACAGACATACTTCGCACGATGGGTGGGCCACTATTGTAGGTGAGAAGTTGTGAAGGTAGAGGGGAAATTTAGTGTATACCTTTACGAAATGTTTAATCATTATCAATTAAAAAAAGGAAAAATTGAAAAATAATTCTGAGCGGAGTTTGGTCACACATGTTTTTAATGGCCGTAATATTTACGATTTGAAAATAAAACATTTCGTAAATCCCGTTATTCTTACGTTTTTTCCTGACTTTTCCTGTTTGTCAGGAAAATCACCTAATCAAATTAGCTTTCAGAAAAAGTGCTACACTTGAAAATCGGTGCAAGATGTCTGGTAGAAAAGTTGTTCACAGACAAAAAAAAAATATCGTATTTTAAAAGAACTGTATTTAGGAAATTCAAATAGTTTTAGAGATAAATAGTTTTTTGGTTTTCGTCGAGTCTTTTGAATATCACTATTTACTCCCTTACGGATCTCGTAAGCGGACACACGTAAGCGGATAATAATAATACAGTAATAATGTGCGGTACATTTTAATATATTATGCAATATGCCATTTACGTTTACTCACTGAGTCCGCTGTTGTCGTCTTCGTTATAATATACTGTTCGGATCCGGGCGAGCGAATTAAATATGATATTAGTATAGTCGGGTATTTGCGATTCGCGGGCAAAAAAACCGAACGTTTCTGCGAGGAGCCTATCGCGGGACGGTGGAGTTTCTCGTACTGTCGGAAAACGTTTGTGGCCGGACGCCGGGATCGCGAAGATCGCGAGCACAGCGTGTCGCAGACGTCGCGCGTCGTCGTTGTCCGTCGGTCGTCTACGCCTCGCCGACGTTCCGAACTTGCTCGTCGCTACGGGATCAGGGACTGTGGATCATGTCGGCGACGAATATTGTCTCTACACGCGTATAATTGGATATTAGGTAATATTATTCGACCACACACTCGACCAAAATAATAATTTTATCACATAAAACCAAACAATAACTAAACAAATTCGCCAGAATGTTATGAACATTTTGTCCCGTCTGTAAAAGATCATTAATAATATTCATTGAAAATTGAATGTTTCCACACGATTATTGTTAACTGAATTACAATAAAAACAAAATTCAAAACAAAATGTTGAATCTGCCAGGGGAATTTTTAATTTTAGATTCTGAGTGTAGCGAGGAATGTATTAGTTTTACAATGACGTTTATTTTTTTTTATTTTTTTTCCCCGTGGACAACTTTTTTACCAGCAATTTTGCTCCGATTCACAATGATAGTACTTTGTCTGAAATGAAATCGGACTGGAAAGGTACTTTAAGGAAGTCATTTTTTGATTTTCCCAGATGTTTTCATAATAAATGGGAAAAACGGGAAAATATGTACAATATTAAACAAATATTATCAAAGAAAATATATAGAGTCATTTTACTAAGCGTGCTCATTTCATTTTTTTTGGTTAAATTTTGCATATATTCAAATTCTAACTTTTGAAATTTTGATGTGTAGTTCAGGCAGATTTTTCAAAAACTTACATTTTTACAACATTTAATAACCTAATCTAACATTCATAAAATTTTGGGTTTTCAAATAAGAACTTATATTCAAAATTCCATAAATAAATGGAGTATTACTTTAAATAAACTTTAGTTTATCATGAAAACTTCTGGGAAAATAAAACAAATTACTTATCTAATATACCACTTCGGGAAAAATTTCTTTCAGAAAAAGTGCTGCACTTGAAAATCGGAGGAAGTTTTCTGGTAAAAAAAAAAATAAAAAAAAACATCATTGTAAACCAATACAACCTTTGCTTCGCTCAGAACTCAAAATTCGAATTATAAAACTGTTTTTTTTTTTTTTTTAATATTTATTAGATTATGCGTAATTAGACTCTGTTTTACATAAATTTTACTGGGTAGGTATATTCGTAGGACAATATTTGAAGGAGGAGTGTGTAGTCTATTTTAAATCCTATTAGTATGGAATTTTTATGAGCAAATGTGTGTGATAAATAAATAAATTTGAAAGTCTTGTTTCCACGATGGGTTTCCTACAAGTTTAATTAGGTTTAGTTAGTTCTCAGAACCGCCTGTCAATTTTCGGTAAACACAGTTTCCTTCGAAGTTTTTCCTATTTTAACCATCGTGTTTAAATTTACGATATACCTAGCTATTACTTATAATCTTCGTTTTAAAAATCAAACGCGTAGCAAATTTCTCAAAACAACCTTGTTTATATTTTAGCTACTCATCTACTCATAATGTGTTGCATTTATTTGTCATGAATGTTCTTAAAAAATGAAGAGTAAAGATGGCAATTTTAAAATATTCTAATTTGCAAGTTATAGAATTTTCGGTAAATGCCGATTTTCGTTTCATTAATACCATAATATAATTTGATATTTTCTTTCTTTAAATTATACAAATTAATCAATTACTGATATGAAAATTCTGAAATCATTGTCATATTATGGTAGGTTCTTTCAATTTTACAAAGAATTATCAAGAAATCGGATTAAAAGAGGATTTTAATAATTATTATATAATTGCATCGTGGGACTAAAATGAGGTTTATAATATGAGACGACGAAAATACTATGAAAAGACCATCGTAATAAAATACCAATTATTATTATTTCTTATCGAACGATTTTACGCATGAATTCTCCAGATTATAGGAAGTAAGGATAAGATTTAAGTATTAACTTGCATTTGAATTTATGATTGCCAAACTAATATACGGAATAATAATTGACACGGGTATTGCTGTCAGCGTGATCATTTACATAACATATCACCAGTCTTGTAAAAAATACGTTTGAAAAAGTAATAGTATCTATTACTAGTATTCGCACAAAAAAGTATTAATTATAAAGTATTATAAAGTATTATCCCATGAACTTGTCAATGACGATAACGATTATGTTTTATTATAGCTTTTTTTATTGTTTATTTTATGCCAGCTTGAATGAACCATGTGATGAAATAATACATTACAGGTGCGTTCCGAGGGGGGAGGAGAGCGATCGTCCCCCTCCCCATAAGCCGTGTGATGTTCTTTTTTGTTATACAAAATATCTATAGTTCTTAAGTACAAATAAGTAAAAATGCAAATGGTTTAAAATGCCATAAATATAATTCCGGATCTTGGAAATACTTTGATTGAAACAAGAATGAAACACTTCTCATTTATAAATTTCAATAGTCTCTCAAGGGTATGAAAAAATTACAGAATTATGGAAAATTAAGTGGGAACAATCAATTTGCTGCAGAGATATAATGAAATAATATATTTTTAGAATCAAAATTTCAAATGATTAATATAATTTAAATTTTAGATTCTGAGTGTAGAAATTAATGTACCTATTGGATTTACAATGTTTTATTTTTTTTTTAAACTATGACAGAAATTTACCAGAAATCTTACTTCAATAAGTAAGTGTAGCACCTTTTTTGAAAGAAAATATTGTCATATTGACTAGATGGTACTTTAGGAAGGTCATCTTTTGATTTTTAAATCAGTTTTCATAATATCAGGATAACCCAGGATAAAACTTAAGAAAAATGGGAAAATAATGATTTTATTATTTTCAATTTTGTTTTTTCTTGTAATTCAGGTAAATATATTGCCTTTCGAATATTCGTCTTAACACCAGCTAGTAATTGCACTGCCGAACGTTCGTTTTCTGTATTAAACAGAATGAAGAACTATTAAAGAACAACTATACTGCAAAAAAGATTGAATTCCTTGGCTACATTACCAATAGAGAATGACTTAACATCATCATTAGATTATGAAGATACCATTGACGACTTTTTAAGAATCAAATCTAGAAAAAAACTTATGTAAACAATAACTATTAAAGGTTAGCATTAAAATCACTTATATTATTAATAAACTTATGTTTTTCTTGTTTATTTTAACTTTATAAAAATAAATACCTAGCAAATATTATTTTGAAATCAAAACTTTTTTTTTGAACTTTACTAAAATGAAAAAATAATTTCATATTATTGAGAAAATAAATATATATATATATGGATATTTTATTATATATAAGTTATTTTACTTAGGATGGGGGAGACCAATTCAATTTAGCATAGGGGCGTCAAATTGTTAAATCCACCCCTGTATACTATATTATTATTTATTATGTATTATTACTTTTTCCTAAATAGCAATCATACTGTTCTTAGAAGTACCAAGTATAACGGATACATAATTATTATTGTTATATTGTCAATATAGTTTCAATGAAAACAATATTATTTAAATTGATAATCAAATTATTGTGAAGAATAATTAATAAAACGGACTTCTTAGTATTTAAATGTTGTAAAATAATTCCATTAAAAATTATTCAGAACACTAAAAAAATACTTTAAGAAATTGTATTTGAAATATCAAAATATGTATACTTCGAAAACTATTTAAATACAGGTATCCAAATACTTGTGTTCGAATACTTTACAAAACAGCATAATACTATTATAATGTGTATATAATATTATTAAGTTTCGTTCTTAATTATACATTTTTCTTTTCTACAAAGTTTCGGTAAATTTATTATATTAAATTTTTATTTAGGCAATATAATATTAGTTGGGATTTTCATAATATCTACATTAAAATGAACTTAAACTAATTTCAGGTATTGTTTTTTAATTATATGGAAAATTCGAGTGAATATACGGAGCCAAATTGAAAAAATCAAAACAATATGTCCTAGTTAATTTTGATGCAAAGATATTATGTGTGTCCGTTTTCATATTGATATTTTCGTTATATATGTTGTATCCACATAGTGAAATCGCTCATTTTATGAACTGGATGTCCAGATAGTGAAATACATAAAGATTGGGGATTTTTGACTAAAATTCATTATATGGAGAATACTTATATTGCACACTTCGTGTAATTATTATAACTTATTTAACAACGCGTTATATTTTTATATTATTTGAATTATATTTTTAATACGTTTTATTAATTAAAAATAGGAAATTATTAATAATAATAAATGATAGACTGATAATAATAAAAGATAATACGATAGTAAATAATGCAGATAGTAAAAAACGAATTTTATGTTACGAAACATACATTTTTATATTTTATTTTATTATTTATTTTTGCAAGACAATCGATTATGACATCGGTTGTTACATAGTATGTTATTTTTATAACATGTATACCTGCTTGATTGACAAGGAATTTTTACCTTACATGAGCAAGGCATAAATCCCTACCCTCTTGAAATTGTTTTAATCGTTTCACGCACTAAAAATAATTTTCATTAAAGAAATTATTATTTAGATATATTTTTCGTTGTTAGAATTATTTTACATTTTTATTATCTTGATCAGTGGTGACAAATTGAATTATTGATTTTTTCAAACATTCACTATTGAACCATCCTTTAGGTAACCCATACTTTGTTCCAAGTGTATATAATCCTTTTTGGTTTTGTTCCGTGATCACACAAATTATGTTTGGTAAATCTGTAGATCCCCTTATTTGTCGGTACTCCCAATACAACGCATTGATTAATTTAAAGCCGTCTGTTCTAGTCAAGTAAAAAAAAAGCTGTCCTAGGATAATGGGGACGAGTGAAGTCACTGTTGTAGGTTGGAAATTGAGAAGGTAGGATATAGAAGGGAATTTAATGGATATCTGTAGGAAATGATGAACGATTGCTAACGAAAAAACGATTCTGAGCA